CGTTACGTTCACAGGAGTTGTTGTACATTTGGGTCGGCCCTTGTTTGGGTTCCACGTAAATCTGCTGGTCCCGCAGTTTCCGCGAAACGGGGGATGAGGGAACCCGTCTACGGATTAACCACCAACTGTGGCTAAGTTATGGCCCCAAATGGTGCTCACCTTTTATTTCTGGGTCCTTTGGGGTGGAGTGCCAGAACGCTGGTTGAGTGGCAGGTTCTTGGATCTTCTGTGATGGACGCTGAAGCGCCCAACATGTCTCATCTACCCCAAAACCAGCTCGCTATATGCAAAAGGTGTTTCATCTACCCAAACTGGGGCTCACGTGGTACCCATGTGTTGAGATACACCTTTCAAGCTTGAACAACGGCAAACGAGTCAGTACAAACGTGTAACGCCCCGAGGATGTGTTTTTTTCTTGGGCAAGAGCGAATTCTGTCCAGATATCCTTGTAGAACAAGCAGCCGGAACAGTGCCAGTCCCCATCCCTCCCCATTTGTGAAATTGGGAGGGGATGACTTTTGGAATTCCCATTTGGGTCTGTCTTTTTCAGGGAAACCTTCTTTGGTTGCTTTAGGCGGAAAATCAAAGGAAACACTACCATCTTGAAGGGTCCACTAAAAGATGACACCCAGTTCGTTGTCCCGGAGACGCGATGAGACACGAGCAGCTGAGGCAGCGAGGAAGGTCTGATTCCGACCCCTTTTTGACGGGCCGGAGCCAACTTGGCTTACTGCGTTGCCTCTCGCTCTTTGAACAGCGACATGTACCTTTTTTGGTCCAGACTTCCAGTGCCCCATTTGGGGAGTATCTTTTTAAGGATTTGGACCCAACAAAAATGGTCCTTTCCTTTTTGGTTTACACAAAACGCTACCGTCAACAACAGACATCCATTTGCTTGCTGGAGCTTTCCCTTTAAAATCAACTGGCGACGCACACCGCCCTCGCTCCCATGGCCACTGGAGGTTTGGGTTTTTCGTTTCGGCAGCGTTGCCGGTGTAATTATTTGTGCGTTGCCTTGGCCGTTTTGGAAGGCACAGGACGTCCGGCCAATGGCCGGTTTCCTGCAAGCTTCCTGGCCAGCTTTGAGTCTCCGATGGTTTCCACGGCCAAAGCTCCGATCTCAGAAAATACCGATAGTTGTCAGGGATTTCCAAAGAGGAATTGGGCCCGCTGGGTTAATTCTCCCAAAAGGAAGCCTAGATAAGCCTAGCCTTTAATAGACCCTAGTCGCTATTTGCCCCCATTGGCATTGGGGTAACTTTTCCCCATTTAGTGGGAAATATCATCGTTAGTGTAAAGGGACCTTTTGATCACCCCCCCAATGCCTGTCTTTTTGCATGGCGCCCTTTTGACCATAGAAAATCCAGCCGCTTCGATTTCGTCTTCGGCCGGGGTACCTGACACCATCGATCGGCGGATCACCAAACTTTTGATGGTGTCGCCCATGGCCCCCCGTTTGGAGGGGGCCCGGAAGTTTTCAACGACCGGAAGTCAGGGAGACCCGACTTCCGGACGTGGATCTGGAACGTGGAACCGGCCATGGGATGGTCTTTGGATCAAGGAGGAACAAAAAACATGTGGGTATGTGTTCTTTTGAGGGTGCCCCTTCTGTGTTGCTTTTACTTTTAAGGAACACCAAAGGGAACACCAATTTGTTGAGTTTCCCCATTTTGAGACACACCCATACCTTGCTTATTGTCTAAGATTCCAGCAAGATTCACACGGAACCCAATGGACAAAGTTGTGGACGATTTTGCCCCCGCCCAAATGATGTCCACCAAAGCGTCAATGGAACTATGGTACAACTGAACTTATAATGGGATTGGGGGCGGGTAGCTATCTAAGTAAGGTTGCTTTTGTGCTTGGGCATATGCAAGAAACTATCCCAGGCGCTTGGACACATACTGTGGATGGACCAAATCCTGCACCGCTTTGAAGGGTTTCTTAGGTTGTGCAGGATTTCGTCCATCCACAGGATGGACCGGAGCCTCCCACCCACATGGAAGCTTCCTGGGAGGTCCAAGACTATTTGAACGCGTTTTGTGTTGCAGGTACTCTTTTTGGCTTTGTTTTGAGAAACGAAAGGAACGACCGCAACCTGAACTTGGATGTTGTTTGCTTGCTTGGAGCCAATTTGGCTTGAAAGGCACCTTCTTGTGGGGTCCACGTCAGGCGACCTCGTTTTCTGGGCGGAGGTCTTGGTTTCCGCCCGAAGAGGTCGCGAGAGACGCCGAGAAAGGTCCGAGAAAGGAGTCCATGAGTGTCTCCAGGACCCGGGAGTTAGGAACTTGCCCAAGTCTTCATGGTTGTTGGGAAACATTTTACATTTTTGCTTATTGTGATTTAGTGGTTGAAATCCAACCACTTAACTGCTAAAATTCATTTTTTTGCTCCCCTTCCAATGTCAACCAAGAAGTGACTCGGCCGCTTTGTACTTAATTGCCCTCTGGGTGCTAACCCATTTGGCGTCCATTCTTCACTGACACGCCCTATTGAACTAGGAGTTTGTTAATCTGGGGTTCCCATTACGCCCTTTACGCCGTAGAGATCCATAGTGGACGCCGGTGTGTCTCAAAAATTCGGGATCGGGTTCCTCCAGATGATTGGTTTCCGTGAAGCTTCCCTTGGCAACTCTCCAAAGAGAAGGGAATCCAACCCCGTAAATTGAATTAATTATATCATGTTCTTGTACTTCGATTCTTCGGTTCTCTTTGGTTGATCTCAGGAGTTCTTTCGATTCTTTCGATTCTTCGATGCTTGCGTTGATCTCATTTTTTGATTCGTTGATCTCATTTTTGATGTTCTTCCCGGCCAGCCCTTCGCTGGCGGTCCTTTGGCAAGATCTTAAGTCACAAGCTGCCCGTCGCCGGCGTGCGCGCCAAACCGCCGCCGGAAATGTGCGCGTCGCCGCGCGCCCGGCTGGACGGGACTGCGGGGCCCATTTTGGGCGCCACATGGTCAGACGACTGCGAGACCAAAAAAGGCCAGGCCTCCCTTTCCCTTCCAAATGCCCCTTCCCAAGTTTTAGGCTTAAGACTCACCAAGGTGTCGGAAGACTAATCGCCGTCAGCTTAAATCCTCACTGTTCTCGGCAAGAAGGTTGGTATTTGGTGTGGTTGGTTCTGTTTTTTTGTTTTTTAGCAGGGGCTGCAAAAACCGGCGCTTTTTGCTAAACAACACGAATTCCCACGAGGAGGACCTTCCAAAAGAGCCAGTTTTCATGGCGGTCGGTGAGAGGAGAAAAAGGGCAAGGTCGGATCTGGATGAATCAACCTTGCCTCGGGGGTGTCGTTTCGGGTGTTCCCCCCGAAAGTGAAGAATCTTCTCATGGCAAGCCCAAGCTTCAGCCAATTAAGGGAATGGTTTTGTCGTGGGCTCCCATTATGTGGGCTTACCTCTTAAAAACAACTTTTCAACTTTTTGGGTAACATGGGCTATATATCTGTAAAGGATTAACTTCCCCAGGGCTTGGAGTTTTAAGGGGTAAGTGGGTGTGTTGGAGTTCGGACAGGGGTTTCCCGTGTGTTTTTGCTCAAAGAAATGGGTGTGTCTTTCGGGGAGCCACTAACATGGCGCAACGGCTTGGTGTTTTTGGGCCTCAAAAAGACGCACCCACCCGAGGGAGATAGGGTTCCGAGGGCATTGGGTATGGTGTTTGGAGGTACGGATGCTTTTTGCCACAAGCATAAGCTTGTTCTTGTAGAAAACTCCTTTTGATGTGCCACAAGTAGTCATGATGTGCATCCCACCAAAGTCACGGAAAATCACTCCGGGCTAAAGGGCATATGCTCAAAAGTTAGCACCCCCCAGCTTAGGCCCAGAGGAACGTAGCAGAGGCCGTTGATGTTCTTCCATGGGCCGTTCTTCCAAGTGCTCGTAAGCCAAACTGGTGAAACTTGCCCCGCAGGTGCGATTTACTCGCTCTTCGATTTCTTGGGGCTGCGAAAGGTACCCTCGGCTTCCCCAGAAGGAAAGTGCCCTCCATGTTGCAATGGCAGTTGTCGGGGGAGAAGATTCATCTTCCAGGTACCTCCCCAAAAGTGCCATGTTAGTAGTCTTCCCAAACCCTCCTGACAGCTTCCATGATTGGAGGAAGGATGCTAGCTGTTGGTTCGAAGGGAGCCATTCCGGAGCTGGGGGTGTCCCGTTGCTTCTAAACAGGCATCTGAAAGCGGAGCTACCAGAAGGTCTGTGAGGACATGGTAGGTAGGTTGTTTTACTGCTTGGTGCTCACTTGTTCAAAGCGAATCGGGTTCCTATTTGTTTAGTCCTGGCCCCAACCTCACTTCCTGCGTTCCATTTTGGACTTTTGGACCATTTTAGTCAGGGCTATGGGCTCCTTAAAAGATACATTTTGCCCATTTGAAACATGGCTTTTTCCACCAACCACCATTTACAAGGCAATGTGTGTAATGTAAGGATCCCTGTTAGTGGTACATCAAAAAGTTCGGGTAAAAATTTTTTGGCCAACCCACTCGATGAGCCAAACCTGTCCCCCCCCCCAGTAATAAAGCGGTGCCCCCCCCCCCCCGCCAAAGAATAAGCTTTAGGATTTAGGGTTCTCAAAGTTTGGAATGGATCTAGGAGGATGTAGGAGGGACTTAGAACACATGAATACTTCTCCATAATAGTTTTTAAAATTTTCTGGAGGAAGCTCGCCCAACAAAGATGACATATAGTTCTACCCGACTACCCACAATAGGGTCCTTCCGCCTTACTCAGGTCCTCCCCCCCAAAAAAATAAGATAGGAGGGGTCCCCCCCCCCCCCCCCCGCTTACTCAATGGTCCCCCACAAATGAGTTTTATTATTCGCAGGAAGGGAGGATGGAAACCCTCAGTTGTTCAGTGGCCCTTTTTTTCTCCTTTTTTATTTTTATTTTTGGTGGCTGCCCCACGAAAAATTGCCCAAGCCCCAAAAAGAGTTCCCGCTTTTTTTTCTCCCAGGGTCGCTGAACTGAGAACCTGCACCATCCAAAGTCGATGCCCCGCTCGGCTCCAGGAGGCCTCTCCGCAGGCAGGGCAGCACCGCTGCGAATGCAGTCCGCTTTTTTTATGTTATTTTATGTGTTTATATATATATATATATGTGTTTCCCCTGGGGGGGGGGGGCACCAAGTCTCCAGGACAACAGGTTGATTTGGAAATGAAACAGCTAGGGCTATGCGGGTTTTTAGCCTTGTTCTCATATACCAGGGTGCCATTTTGGCCATTTTGGAGCCGCTGCCATTTTTGCTGCGCACTCAAAGGCAGTTCCCTGGCGTAGCACTTTCAGGAGAAATAGAGTGACCCCGGCAACATGGACTGATTTCAGCGGTCCTTGAATTTATCAGGACGGCCCACGTGTTTTCGGTTTCGCCACCAGCTACGCATGTGTCTGCAATCCGGGCGTTGCTATGGCCGAGACCACCCCTCCCGGGCCCAAATGGGCTTTCGGGGGTTCCCTCAAGCAGATCTGACGGCCTTACTATGGCCTTACAGTACTAGGGGTATCTCTGGGGCTAACTAACAGGGAGCCATCAGGTGGAAACGATCAACTCGTGAGCTCAGACTCTGGTTGGGCTGATCTTAAGGGAGTTTTGGAGACCTGAAGAATCACCTGACTGGGTCCAACTTGACCGACTGACGTGGCTTCATCCAGGTAGACGTTTCCCTTCAAAACTCGTTGAGTGGGAGGCTTGAGAAAAGCCGCGGGGCCAAGCCCCGATCCAAGCCCCGACCCGTTCAGCTTGCGCACGCCAGGCGCTTATGCCGAGGCAGGCTGCGGATGTTTGAGCCCTTGCCCTAAGGCTCTTGATGTTTGTTGGGCAGAAATTGCCTCTTTTTTTTTTGGGGGGGGGGGAGATTTAATGATGATGATGATGATGGTGGTGGTGGTGGTGGTGGTGGTGGTGGTGGTGGTGGTGGTGGTGGTGGTGGTGGTGGTGGTGGTGGTGGTGATTTTTGGAGACAAGTCCTTTTCTTTGCTTTTCTTTGTTGAGGGGTGAAGCATGGCCGAGTCGATTGAAGGTGTAGGATGGATGGTGCTGCCTGAGCAGAAGGCTCTTTTACAGGTCCCTCGAGCTCGTGATGATGATGATGGTGGTGATGGTGATGCACTTCCCTTCCTGGGGTCCCTGATTTCAGCATTGGTGCTTGCCGTTTTTTTTTTTGCAGATGGTGCTGCTCACTCCTCGCATGTTGCATGCACCCAGCCATAGGGTTGATGCCATTGACGAAGGGTTGATTCGACTCCTTTTCAGCCAAGGTTTGCACTTTGTTGGAAGATCATTTTATTGGCCGCAAAAGTCTGAACTTGTTTCTGACCAACCCACAGGGACTCTTCATACCGCTTTTCCTCTACTCCCTGGGGCATTTTCCTGAACAGTCGGTTCAAATCTTGCGGATTTGGTTTAGTAGTTTCCCTTCTGGATTAGGGCTCTCTCAGTTTTTGAACAGACGCCATCTGAGCACGCGATTTAATGCAAATGGGCATTCAAAGGCTGATGTATAGGTCCTACAACGTGAACCCATGGCCATTTTGAAGCCATAACTAAGGGTTAATTTACCCATAACCTAGGGGTTCACACTAGACGTATACATTCATCCTTGGAGGTACCTGCCACCCAAATACCTGTGTACCTTGAGAAGAATGTCTCTTCATACCTGTTTTCTATCGGATTTGCCCGTCAAAACTTCGACAAAGCTCTCGGATCCCGAAAAGAGGATTTTTCTTCGACTGTGCCTAACACAGCGTCGCCTCCCCGGACGTCCGGCTGTGCAATTCCCTCTTTCAGCTGCAGGGGCAGGAAGAAAACCCTAAAGGGGTTTTCTCAATTCCCTCCTTGGGCTCCAAAAGCGGCGGATTCAGTGGAACTGTGTGAAGCGGAATTCCAGCCACTTCAATTTGCAACCTTAGCTGCTTCAAAGTGCTTTCTTCATGCAGGCGATTTGGGACATCCTTGCAGGGGCCCTTCTAAGCTCAACCAGCGGTGTCCTCCATCCAATTGCCGAAAGAGCGCCAGGACTTCGATCCGCGGCCTGCGGAGCCTGTCTCTGAAGTCCCAGAGGCGAGTTGAGATTTCCCCCGGCCCAGTGGTACCCTTGCGGCGCGTAACACTTTCAAGTTTTTTTTTTTTTTTTTTAGTTTGTGTTCTCACATACCAAGGTGCCATTTTGGCCATGTCTGAGCCGCTGCCATTTTTGCCGCGCACTCAACGGCAGTTCCCTTGCGTAACACTTTCAGGAGAAATGGAGATTTCAGGGGTCCTTGAATGGTCAGTTATCAGGATGGTCCCCTAAGCCCACTTGCCCAGTGGTACCCGTTTTTCAACTTTTCTTGGAAGGGTTCCGACTCCTTGAAAGTCAACCAACCAAAAACAAAACAAAAAACAGATGCATATATTTTTTCCCTCCATGGAAATCCACTGAGCATCTGAGTTCCCGCTCCTCCAGCGGATGGGTAACCTCCACAAGCTGTGTTCCTTTAACATTGACCCTGCTTTTCACCACTGAAGCTACAAATGCCAAACATGGCTCACCAGGGCCCAAAGCGGATCGACCTGATTTCCCATGGTTTCCCGTTGTTAGGTCCATATTTAGTGACGGTTCCATTCCGTGTGCGATCCCTCAGCCACAAGACCTTATTTAATCTAGCAAAATCCCTGCTAGATTCAACGTCCACAGCCTATCACGCCACCTGCATCTTGAACCGCTTGGGATGACAAGCCCCGGAGTGCCATTTCAGTTCTCTATGCACGCATGCTACAAATGCGATGTTGGCGGATGGGTGAACATCGATGACATCATCGACTGCAACTGGTTAATCTTCTCTAATTCTGGGTTCAGGGGCAGCTGAGATGACACTTTTTGAGCAGGAAGGTTTGCTGCCATGCAGGGAAGGGAGCTAAAGACCATCCTTTTGTAGAGGAAACTCCTTGTTCGCAAGCCCCGGTTTTGGGTTCCATGTAGACTTCGGGAGCAAAGTGGTGACAGTTACCGGGGCTCTCAATTGGGTGGCTTCCCTTTAATCTAGGGGTCACTTCTTAAGGACCTTCCTTGCTGGAAATCCAGGGAAGGTGGTTGGCTTTTGGCAGTTAGCCACCATTTAGAGTGTCATCTTGATGTCTCTTTCAGAAGTCCGACGAATTTTAAGGGTGGTTTCCCCCTGGCCACCCCTTGCCACTTTCGACCAGCCATCCTGGCTTCAGGAGGGGCGGGTTCTTGGGGTTCGGTTCGTTCCGGGCGGCTTCCGAGGTGGTCTCACGCGACTTTTTGGCCTGTTGAGGATACTACTGTGGATGGACGAAATCCTCTTAGGCACCACCGAAGAAACCCTGGGATGGATTGATTCCCCTGTAAATACCAATGAAAGATGGTTTCCACCATGGTTTCCAAGTGGTGCAGGATTGCGTCCATCCACAGTAGGTCCCCCAGCAAGGTGCCAACTTTTACCTGCTTTAGGGGGGTATAAGCTTGGCTGAACCTACTTGTCGGGGGTGCCGTACCTATTCTCCAGTTGTTGAGGTCAAGCTGCCTTTACCTGCTTTTGGGGAGGGGGGGATTCTAAACTACTAAAATAGAGCACAGAAAAAGAAGTCCGCACCCTTATTCTAAGCTCTCTACTGGAGGACCTAGGGTATGTGTTGGGCTGATTGACGCAAAGGCCTTGTCTGGCCCCCAAGGGAAACCGTCTAGGAGTTGCTTAGGGGCGTCTAGGTGTGTTTCCTTCCAGGCGTTTTTGAGGCCGCGGGTCCTGAAGATCTGTAGGACCCTTGGATTCGACCATCTCTAAGCGAACGGTGCTTTTTGCACATCGGCCTTTTCGCCTTTCCCGTTTCGGTCCATATTCCGTCATGGTTTCCAGAGTTTCGGCATTTTTTGGGGGGCACCCGGCTCCGAGATGCAGAAAGGCCCTTGGTTTGAGGCCTGAAAAGGGGTGACCGAAAACCGGAGCCCTACATTACCTGGATGTTCAGCCCGCTTATACTATATAGGTTATCACCATCCCAGATCCAGTCACCAGGAAACCAGCCATTTTTCATTTCTGGTTTTCAAAGACTTAACCAGGTAAATGGAATCACTGGGATTGTTTCCACCTGAAATTAATCCCCAGAGCCAGGGAATTGGTAAGGGAGAATCCCAACCTGCTGGGAGAGACTCAAAAAGACCTCCAAACCGCCAATCGGGATTGTTGGTGTTTTTGTTGGTTCCCTTTTTGGGGTTGGCTTAAGGGGGCGCAAAAGGGAAACCCCCATTTTTTTTTGGGGGGGGGTCAAGCTTAAAAAAGACACCCCCCCAGCTCAACTCAGTTGGGCTTTCTGGGGTTTTCCTGGTTTCGGTTCCCAGTTTGAGCCCTGGCCCCAGGTGAAAACCACCTCCGAGTTTCTGCCGTTTCGTTTCGGGGCCAAGCTCTCGGCCGATCGGCTCGGGTCCCAGGGCGTCGCCGCGGAAGCGTGCGCCGAAGCTTGGCGCTGGTGGGGGGTTGCTCACACTTCCAGGGGTTGAGTTAATTAGAGACCCGGTAGTGGAACTTGTTTTCTGAAGACGGACTGGCGGACTTGTTGTGGCCAGTCAGGAAGTGAGTTCAACCACTTGTCTCCGGGCCGTGGAATCGGAACTGGGCTTGAGCCAGGGAAGAAAAAAACAAAAACTGGCAAGCGAGTTTCACAGGGGTACATAGCTTTCCCACTCTTCCAAGGGATCCTTCTTTCTAGAGGCTCAGTTGTTCAAAGCCGACCTTTTGGTTTTCCAATTTTGGTCCATCTTTAGTCATGGCCCCAAAAGGTGATCACCTTTTAGTTCCAGGTCCTTTGGGCAACTGAGGAGGTGTCCGAAACTGACCTTTTGAGCTTTTGGCTTTCCTCTTTGCCATAGGTCCCCAAAGGCGATCAGCCCAAGGGCTGGCGCTGGAGAGAACGGGGAAGTGACCTTTGGGGTTTGTTTGCAAACGGAACCCAACAAGTCTGGGTGTTCTCCATACTGTGGATGGTTGCGAAATCCTCTTAGGCACCACCCAAGTAACCCCAGAATGGTCTGATTCCCCTGTAAATACCAACAAGCAATGGTTTCCCATGGTTTCAAAGTGGTGCAGGATTTCGTCCATCCACAGTACAGCAGCCAAAAGACTCCTTATTAAAGACAATACTGGAGGACCTCTCCCCTAGGCGGAGAATCAGTTGTTCGCAAACCCTAGTAGTACTGTGGATGGGCAAAATCCTGCACCACCTAAGAAACCATGGTAAACCACAGTTTGTTGGTGTTTACGGGGACTCAGACCATTCCAGAGTTTCTTAGGTGGTGCCTAAGAGGGTTTCGTCCATCCACGGTATCACAGCGGTTGCAGTCCCCGCAGCTTATCCAGGCGATGCGTGCGAATAAATGATGTGCTGCCCTTGGCTTGCAAACCTTGCACAACTTTTGTGCGCCTCGTTTCATGTCTAACTAGTGGGCCAAAGCAAAATGTGGATGCGTCTCAAAATAGGGAAGCCCCTGCAACATGGTGTCCTTTCCTCCTTGGATCCTGTTGGCTTCACTTAAAAACAGAAAAGATACACCCATATCATACGAGGTCCCTGGCATGTGCGGACCAGGGACGCTGAACATGCTGCCCCATGCTGAGGAAGCGCTGCCCATGATGGTATCCTCCAGGGAGAACGGGGGAAATACGCGTTATATAGTGGCAGTATGGTGGTTGCGTATGCCACTAACCTCATTGGGGGCAGGGGCTATATATGAATATAAATGCCTAATATATATATATACATGTACATATGTATATATCTATATATAGATTTATTCTAGTGGTTACATGTCCCATACACCCCTTGGGTTCATTTGCGTCATTCGAGGAGCGTTGCTGGTGGCCGCCTGCTGCCCTGGCCGCAGGCTGAAAAGCGAAGTCTTGAAGCGCGTAGAAGGGGAGGTAGGCGGCCCGTTGTGACTTTGGGTAGTGGCTATGGCCAAGGAGCTGATGATTCAATGGGGGGTTAAGGAGCCCTATCATTACAATCATTGGTTAGACTTGGTACTGTGGCGGTTGCGAACTCCGTTCGCACCTGGCCTCTAGGGCCTTCTGTCCGCACTCGCTGAGGACTCTTAAATGCAAAGGGGGGAACCACCGAAACATCCTCAAATTCCCCCAAATGACAGTTCAAAGCGAACCCCCCAATCCCCTCCCACAACCAAAAGCGAGGTTCCTGACTTTTACGATGTACCCACAATGATACTTACCAGTGCAGATGAACCACTTGTCAACTTGCTGTAGGTGTATCTCGGTTTGGTTGACACCAGGCTTCCACTGGTTTCAGGTTGCTTCGGTTGAAGCCAGTTGGATCCATGATCCAAAAGGGGCAAACAAAACAGATTCCATCAGAAAGACCCTACCTCAAGTCATCTTACCCCTAGCCTGGATCTTCCAGACATGGCACAGGCGACCACCACGGCGGATGGGAAGATCCAGTGCTTCAAGGGAGTCCGGCACATGCCTCGACTTCCCTCGGGTCCGAACGAGCGAACCAGGGGCAACCCATGGCGGACTGAATTTCAAGAGTCGGAAAAACGCAAACTCTACGTTTTTTGAGGGACCTGTTTTTTGGGGTTGGTTTGGAGGGAATTCACCAACAAACTTTCTGGTTTCAACCATGGTTTCTTAGGTGGTGCGAAATGGATTTCGTGCATCCACAGTAGGTCCTCCAGTAGAGAGGTTAGAATAAGGGTACCCTGTTTTCTGTAGTCTATTTTAGTAGGGGAACCCTCCCCAAAAAAACAAAGACACACCCGTGTTTTTTTTAGTCTTGCTTCAATGGACACATATGGTTGGCCTTTGACCAGGCATAAGTGTCGAGCGCCGAGGCCTAGATATTTGGACCACCTGTGCCCGCTAGGCGCGCACGGGTTCCGGCCTCCGGTCTCGGCCGTTTCGGCGCTGGTGTCGTAGTAAACGCTCCTCTTTTTCGAGGTTTTACACCACTCAGTTGTTCAGTGGCCCCCTGTTTCCCCTTTTTTGGGTGGCTGCCCCACTGAAATGGTCCAAGCACCAAAAAAGGGTTCCCTTGTCCGGGGTCACTGAACAACTGAGGCCAAAAGAATGGCGAAAAGCGAAGGGCCGGGTTATGAGTTTCCGACGGGGGCCCGGGTCCCAGGTTCGCAATGCAGTTGGCGCAGTTGGAAAGTAGATGGCGAAGTTGCAACCTTGTAGGCGTTTCATAGGATTGATGCCTTTGAACCTTGTAGGCGTTTCTATGTTTGCTCATACTGGTGGACGAAATCCATTTCGCACCGCTTTGAAACCATGGGAAAGCCATAACGTTTGTTGGTATTTCCAGGGGAATCATCCTTCCAGGGTTTCTTAGGTGGTCCAGGATTTCGTCCATCCACAGTATTTGGTTGAGGTCGCAGAAGCTTCACCTTTTGGTTGTTCCGTTGTTGCTCATATTTCATATTCCGTCGCAGAAGCTTCACCTTGTATTTCTGGGCCCCTTTTTGGGGCAACCGAGCCACATCCATCGCCACAGGCGACCGGGACTTGGCCAGTACCAGGCCAATCCGCCGAGCGGTGAGCCGGCCGCGGCGCAGCCTTTCGTCAGCCACCAGTGCTGCTTAATTCGAGACCGGTCGACCTGCGGCCCGCTGCATCCCCACCCCTGAAAAATGGGGAACCCCCCCTCCTCCATCCTCCTCCTGAAGGTAATTCGGGGGGATCCCACTGCATTGAAAATGGACACAGGGTTCTACTGACCCACCAAAGTTCTTCAAATTTGCTGAAATGCATTATTTTCCTCTTGTTTCAAAGGGAATCGATTTCACTACTGGAAATAGTTTTTCCCCAGGGGGCGAAACCGCAAATTGGAAGAAATGGTGGCTTTCCTTGTGGTTTTCCTTGACCTTTTGACACTGTGTGGGAAGACCGTCGTAGTGGTAAACAACCAGTTCTGACTTTTCCTGGCCAGCCAACTCTGGAAGTCAGCATTTCATTGACCGAAGGAACCTGGAGCGACCTAAATGTTCGCATGTGAGTCACAATCAAAACCCGGGTAGATGCAGGTTAGTAAGGGGCAGTCCCAGCCGGAAATAGTTGCGGCCGCCTTCTTAGCTCTTTACATGGTTCTGGGTCGACCATTTTTGTACCGGGTTTTGATTGTAACTCATGTGGACATGCCACTGTCACACTTGCCCGAGGGCTCGCTCTGGTTCTTCAAGCCTGGTCCTTTCTCTAACATCCTTGTTTCCAGCTTGCCCTTTGCTGGATTTCCTAAGGATTGCCAGGGAACAGGGAGCAACCCGTGAATTCCACCGTTTGTGGCTTGCACTCTTGGTATGTTTGCTAACATCCCTCCAGGGTTGCAGGTTTTGGGCCAATCTGCACATGGCTTTTGCGCTGTCACGTGTTCATTTCTCTTATGCCAAGCTCGCCTTGGCTAGGCTTTGGGTTGTCCGTCCCTACGATTCTGTGCGGTTCTCATTCTTCCATTGGGCCTCGCGAGCGAGAGACCGTAGCTCCTTACCAGTCAGCTGAAAGTGGCTGATAGGATCTTCCAGTGCCGACAGGCTCCGTTCTTTTGAGCCGGTAAGGGTTCAACACCCTAGTCCTGCGGTTGCTTGCTAGGTTGCGAGTTTCCTTTTGTTTTGGTTTGGCTCTGTTCAGCCAGTACGGGCGGGCCCGCCTAACCTCTAAACCGACAATCCAAACCACCAATTGGAGGGAAGCTGATCATTGGCCCAATGTACTTGCAGCCCCGTCAACATGTTTTGCCCAGGGTCCCAGACAACTGCTGGGTGAGTTTAGCTGGGTAGGGTGGTGGCGGGGTTCTGCCGATGCTTAATTTAGTCTTGCCGAGACTTACTCCACCTCAGATCCCAGGTCTCAGAGAGAAGCCACCCCTTCAAGGTAAAAGCCACGGCTTTGATCCTACAAATGTTACCCCCCCGCACCCTTTGCCATTAAAGTGGGCCCGACGCAATCAGATTGAAGCAGATGAGGGTCTCTTGTGGGCAACTCCTTTTCTATGACTGTTCGGCCCCCCACAAAGGGAGCACCTCTTCTGCGAGTCGGAGCCTCCCCGGAAGCTACCGTAGGCCAGAGGAACCCCTGGCAAGTCTTAGCCTCCCTTGGCCCGGCGAAAACTCGGCCGGGCCGGGCAGGCCATTTGCGCTGATCGACGCGACTCTGTGCGAGGCACTTTGTGCTTAAGGCACGAAGTTTGGCGTCCAAAGCTTCGCGAAGCGGGAAAAAAAGAGAGGACGCCTGTGAAGAATTGCTGTCAAAGCCACAGCCACTCTCACAGCCATGCGAGGTATGAGAGAGAGAGAGAGAGAGAGAGGTGTTTCGGTGCAAGCTTAGGTTGCCCTTGATTTCTGGGTAAGGCGGCATCAAGAGGGGGTTCCCTCAACACTCGCTTGGATGTATTCGCGGTGCCGGATCGCAGCTGATTCGGGGAGACCGGGGTCTCCCGCTCCGGCCGGAGAGGGGAGGGCGCGTGGACGGGCGCGTGAACGGCCCGTGATGGATCCGGCCACCTTGTTCGGGAACGCGAACGCGGCTCGGCCGAAGTGGAGCCAACAGAAGAGACCGCCAGACAATGGGATTTGGGTGCTCCTCATTTGGCCATGGGTCAAAATACCGGTTACCCCCCAGTGAATATCCCAATCCCCACTAAAATAATTAGACTCATGGTAGTACCATTGGTTTTGACCCACATTGTCAATGGTGGGTGCTCCTTTGGGTCGCTTCAGAAGTACCACGGCCATTCAAAAGTCTCGGTTCCGGCCACCCCCCGCCCCCCAAAACTTGGAACCAGTTGGGATGAAATACTTTGAATCCTGTACTAGCTCTGCGGCTTTTGTGTCCATCTGGGCAGGGCATTGCTTTGTGAGAGATGCAGACATCCCAGCAGCCCCTCATTCTGCTGCGATGCCCATTTGGAAGTCTGCCTGTTGAAACCGCAAGGCATGGACTCTACGAGTGACAAAACTACGATTGCGGAGGGGGGGAGTTGGGGGCCCGCCAGCCAAGCAAATGTGAATGAAGTCGGCGTTATGCCTTACCAACCCCACCCTCCCGATGTTTTTTTGGGTAGGTAAGCGCAATTTACCATCTATGAATCAGTTGATATTTTGTTTATTTTCCCCTGTTGGTTTTAAAGGGGATCTATCGCTACTGGACTTTTTTTGTATTTTTTCCCAGGGGTCTTAACCAAATGGAAGGTTGGCAAATGGAAGAAAGTGCATACCTAGCACAACTCCTCGTCATTTTGTGAGTTGGGTCCCGATGTCTATGGCACTCTGAGGTGCACTATGTAAACGAGGAGTACGAGGAGGCTTTGAAGAACTACACTCTGGCCGTGACGCTGGAGGCGCGGGAAGGGTTCCCTGTGGTTGCCCTTATTCCCCAGCCCTGGGCATTTTCGCGTTTGGGCTATGGAGGTCTGAAGGTTACCACTTCTATGCTCAGCCCAAAGCGAATGGACCGGATCTGGCTGTGGTGGGCTCCATTTTTGAGCCCTCCGGTCCAAAAGCTGCTCGGAGGGTATATAGCATATGCTGCGCAAGCTTGTATCTCAGTTGTTCCGTGGCCCCCTTTTTCCTTTTTTTTTTTTTTTCTTGGGTGGCTGCCCCACTAAAATGGTCCAAGCCCCAAAAAGGGTTCCCTTGTTTCTCCAGGGTCACCGAACAACTGAGATATTGGCTCATGCTGGCTTTGAGCGCCAGCTCCCTGCAGCTTCCAGGAGGTCAAGGAAGCCTTGGCGCTTCTTTTTTTTCTATCGCCAAATTGGGGGGGTCTGCGGGTTTCTTGCTCTGTTTTCCACATGTGGGAAATACCAGGGGCCAGTTTGCACCCTCTTGAAAGCGAAAACCCTGGCTATCAGCTCTCCCTTAGAAGGGAAAGCCGGACAAGAACAAATCCCTTCAACCAAAAGGGGATTTCGCTCGTCAAAACGTGGCCCTTTGTGTGTGGCTTCCTTTCTTTGCACCCTCTCACGCTCATGCTCCCTGCGTTCCAACGCCATACTTGGCTGAAGATCGTTGCTACCCAGCAGGGCACCACCCCCACCAAGTGACATGCAACGTGACTGATCCTGGCTTTGCCCACCTCCAGCCTGGCAAGGCATGGGTCAGGGATTTGCTTGACCTGCCGTGGTGGTTGATTGGTTGGCACGTGATTTGATTTGCTTGGCCTGCCGTTCTTGCACCTGTTGCTTCATGTCTGAACTGCACGCAAGCTCGCCAGGCTCGCCAGGTCCGTTTTTTTCTCTTTCGAACACTGCGAGCTGCAGGGTCACCGGCCCAAGTATTTGACGACTCGCCCACTTCCTTCCGCCTCACTCTCGGCATGGCGCGCTGGGTGCTTGCGCTGCTGGTGGCTCCGGCGGTGGCCTATGTGCCGGGCACTCCCGGCACCTCAGGATTCCATGCGCCTGCGGCGCCATCTGTGCGAGCGGAGGTGCGGGGAGTTAGATCTCGACTTCCCCCCCACGAACCACCAAGAATCATGCTGGCCCCCTTTTCAATCAAGAAGAAATGATGATCCCCCCGGGCTGGTCGGAGCCCTCCAGTTTGGCTCTGGCGAAGCTTGACATTGGCAACATAATCAGCTTCAATCTCCTCATTTAGAGGTAGGACTAGCTTTTGCATATCTTCCAGTGAGCACCCAACGACGCCAAAGCAAGGGGCCCACGGTTTATTGCATTTCACCTATCCACTATTTGTGACATGCATCCTGGTCCACCGAGTCGACATTTCAGTGACTTCACAACCACGACGCACCCCAAAACCGCCAAACCCGCAGCCCGCCAAACCCGCAGGCGGGCTTTGAGGAGACGGAGGGCAGCTCGGCCCTTCCCGCAGTGGCGGGCGCCTTCGGAGTCGGGGCGGTGCTCGGATGGCTGAACTCCAGGAAGCAGCCGCCTGGTCGCCTTAGCGCAAGCGATTGCCACGTTTCGAGTCCAGGAGCCACGTGCTCAAAGCCGATTCGGGTGGATGATCCGGTTAGCAAGGGGCAGTCCCCAGAAAGAGTTGTGGATATCCGCCTTCTTGACTCTTTACATGGCCTGGGTAGACCATTTGATTACCGGGGTTTGATTATGACTCAGGTGATTCTAAGGATTTTCCTATTACAGCATGGGATTACACCCTAGGGAAGTTACCCAAGGAATCCCTGAAAAACCAAAATAAGCAGGTGTATTTGGAAATAAGCCAGGATACAGTAGGATGATTCCCAGGGCGTAATTTTAGGGTGTAACAGGAAAACAATTGGAGGGGGATGGTTGCAGAATCCGCTTCTGGCAGCTACTTCCATTGGTTGAAGGGAACATTTGTGTTATTGAAAGGTTTTTGATTCTTTCATTGGCGACCTTTGTGTTTTATTTATTGAAGGGTTTTATTGAAGTGAATATCTATTTGTTTTATTGTCCCTTTGTGATTTTTTAAAGTTTTCCCAAGCATATATAGGTGTCCTGTTTTGTTGTTTTGGTCGAAACATGGATGGCGATTCCTGGTTTACCTGGTGGTTTAATCATCTACCAGCACCATCTATTTCCCCGAAAAGGACGCCTATGTTCCCAAGCGGCTTAAGCAAATCCATTTGAAGAAAGACAGGTCACCCATGTGTTTCTACTGCACGTGTTTTTTCTTTCTTTTCTCCCCCCTCTCCGGAGAACCACACTCTTCAAAGGCGTCCCCTCTGATGATTATGTTTCCCGCATGAGGGCGCACCACCCCGAAGAAACCCAAAGTTGACATTAGGAATGGTGGAGGCGCTTTCACAGCATGTGAAGGCTTCCCTCTGAACTACGGTGGACAGTACTCTCCGCAGCCCCTGTGAATCAACCAGTATGCCAGGGGCGTATGAAATGCCGGGTTGCCATTGCTTGGATGTTCAACCCACTTATGCTCACTTTGTATGTATATAGCTTATATCTTATAAACATGGTTAGTTTAGTTGTGCCTGTTGTCAACCAGGGTCATTTGCCTCATCATCATTGTCAGTACCTCCCTGCCTGATGCGGTTGGGTTGAACATTCAAGTCAGCACCCCAGGTTTTTATGAATCTTGGGCTACCATTTGTAGAATCGGGTCCCTGTCTGTCAATTTGTTTGAAGGTACTTCTTTCCGATTTGGCTTTTCCAAGGGACGCCCAAGGGACATGTTCAAGGGAAACCAACAAGAAAGAGACCACTTCTTGTTCTTTTTTGCATATTTTTTGGGGAGGGGGATCCTAGCAACATCTCCCTCAACGGAAAAGACACATCTTGGATGGTGAGGCAGATTGTGTCAGTGGCTGCTGCCGCGAGCGTTGCCGCCGTGCCGGCCGCAAACGCCATGGTGGAGTATGAGACTTGGCGAAGCCTTTCGCATCCCCGGTTTTCTTAGGTGGTCGGCCACGTTAGTAGTTGGGTGGCTCGTCATTTCTTTGGTACTTCTTCGTGGCTTTGAAGGGGAACCACCACCAAGATTGAAGCCATTTTAGAGGCCAAGGAGCTGGGAGTATCCAGGCTAAGGAGCTAACGAGGGAGCTGAGCCGAGTAAGCGCCAATATGATAGTTGCTAAAAGGTAACAACCTACATAACCTTGCCGGGCTAACCTCTGGCCTTGCAAATAGGTCAGAACCTGGTTGCTTGCCAGCTTGGCCGAGCAACCAAGTAAGTAGTAGAAGGGTTCACCGTCCACGGCGGGCCGCTTGCATACAATTCCTATGTTTTCCCTTTGTCATGGACCCCCAAGGGGGCTATGGGGAGGGGGGGCTATCCCTTATTAACCCCTTACCAGTAGAGCCGGCGAAGCCGGTGGGCGGAAGTTTCCAACATATAAAAACGATAGTTCTCTTTCTCTTTCTTTTCTTGAGTCTTTTTCTCTTCTTCCTCCTTTTCATTGTTTCTTTTTTCTCCGTCATTCTTCCTTTCTTCCTTTCTCTCCTTCCTTCCTCCCTTCTTTCCTTCTTTCTATCTGTCTTTTCTTTTGTCTCTTCGCTGTCTATCTATCTGTCTATCTGTCTATCTATCTTTCTCTACCTATCTATCTACCTAACTACCTATCTATCTATCTCTCGTGTTAGCTATCTATCTGCTTATCTATCTATCTATCTATCTCTCTATCTATCTTCTCTATCTATCTTCTCTATCTATATCTATCTGTCTATCTCTCTATCTCTCGTGTATTTATCCATCTCTGTATCTCTCAATCTACCTTTCTTTCCATGTCTCTATCAACCCATCTCTCTATCTGTCTCTCTGTCTCTTTCTCTCTTTACCTATCTATCTATGTACCTCTCTATCTACCTCATCTATCTATCTATCTATCTATCTATCTATCTATCTATCTATTTCTTTATCCATCTACCTATTTACTTATCTATCTATCTCTCTATCTCCCCTTCTGTCTCTATATTCACGTACTACTTCCGTACTTAAAAGTTGCGATTTTGAAGACCCAGCTGCGAAAGTTGACTTCGCGTACTACTTTCGTACTTAAAAGTTGCAATTTTCGCAAGTGGACTTTACGTACTACTTTCGTACTTAAAAGTTGCGATTGTCAAGCCCCAGCTGCGAAAGTGGACTTCGCGTACTACTTTCGTACTTAAAAGTTTCGATTTTCGAGCCCCAGCTGCGAAAGTGGAGTTCGCGTACTACTTTCGTACTTAAAAGTTGCGATTTTCGAGCCCCGGCTGCGAAAGTGTGACTTCGCGTACTACTTTCGTGCTTAAAAGTTGCGATTTTCGAGCCCCAGCTGCGAAAGTGGACTTCACGTACTACTTTCGTACTCAAAAGTTGCGATTTTCGAGCCCCGGCTGCGAAAGTTCACTTCGCGAAAGTGCTGCACGTGCCATGAAATCTTTACTTGACCTTGCGAAAGTGCTGCGCCTGCCACGAAGTCTGCACTTGACCTTGCGAAAGTGCTGCGCCTGCCACGAATTCTGCACTTGACCTTGCGAAAGTGCTGCACCTGCCGCGAATTCTGTACATGACCTTGCGAAAGTGCTGCGCCTGTTACGAAATCTGCACCTGACCTGTCGAAAGTGCTGCACCTGCCACGAATTATGTAATTGACCTTGCGAAAGTGCAGTGCCTGCCACGAAATATGTACCTCACCTTTCGAAAGTGCTGCGCCTGCCACGAAATCTGCGCCTGACCTTTCGAAAGTGTTGCGCCTGCCACGCAATTCAAACCTAGGGAAAAGTTGACCTTGCGAAAGTGCTGCGCCTGCCACGAAATCTGCACCCGACCTTGCCAAAATGCTGCGCCTGCGACGCAATTCAAACCTCTGTGTTGCCGTGCCAATGGGCCCGGCGCCGAACGTGATCCGAGCATGCTCCGAGCCCGCTCCGACGCCGCGAACAGGCTAGCTTTCGCAACTCCGGAGACGTCAATTCACGCACAGGGCCACGCTTTTTGCGACTTTCTTATCTTCGAAAACGCCGATTCACGTTACCACTTTCTCTTCCCCTGCCACACGCGCGCGCATTTTTTCTCGATCCATCTCTCTCTCTCTCTCTCTCTCTCTCCATCTATCTCTCGTGTATCTATCTATCTCTCTACCTATCTATCTATCTATCTATCTATCTTTTTCTCTATCTATCTTTCTATCTTTCTATCTATCTATCTCTCTCTCTATCTCTCTATCTCTCTATCTTTTTATCTAGACTCTTCTCCATAAATTCGCCTTCGCAAGGAGAAAGCAAGGTATGTTTTTTCTATCTTGAGGCTAGGGAGGAGTGGGGGCATTTCCGAAACAACTGGAAGTGGCTCCTTGCCGTGCACCGGGCTTGTAAATTTCCGGATGTGTCTTGTGCCATCAACCCGGCCTTCCCGGCGTTTGTGAGTCCGCCACATCGGGAGGCCCACCGAAAAAAAATGACCCTTCGCGACTAAACATCAATTGTCGCATGGAATGTTTGGGAAGCAGCAAGTTTTCCAAACACGGCAACCCTTGGTGGCTGGGTCGAACTAGTCCAAAATGCAGCCCTGTCGTAAACCTGGACTCCGAAAACGTGTCAAACAAGCACAGTGGCCTTTCTTTCTTTGTTTCTATCTCTTTTTTTTTGTTTTGGGGGGGGGAGGGTCCGCATCCGCAACCTGCCAGAGAGTACGCAAATCTTCTGGTTCAAACACCCCCAGGAGAACATCCAGTTCCTGGGCGGCAGCGACAAGGCCAGCAACAAATGCGGGCGGAACGGATTTGGAGAGGGGGAGGCATGGGCCCTTAGCTCCTCATGGTGCTTAAGAAGGGTGTTCGGCCGAGTTAAGTGGTTTCTTGAGTTATCTAGGTAACCACTTGTCTCGGCCGAACACCCTTGAGGAGCCTCTGGGCCCATGCATCCCCAAGTGGAGTTCGCCGGGCTGTAAGCACCTGCTAACTCGGCCGAACACCCAAGCAACGAATGGCCCTGATAGTCGCTAGTCGCTACTAGTCACTAGGCCACGATGGTTCTCCTTGGTATGGCTTTCAGGGCGAGCGTGTGTTTTTTTGAGGCTGGGCTCCGTGAGTTTAACCCCTTTGGGCTGCCTCAAAGATTTTGAGAGCTCTATTTTTCTAGAGCGCGTCTACTGGCAACAGGGAGGAAGCCGTTTCTTGCTGTTAGGGGTATGTTCAAGGTTGGCTTCATGTTCTCCAAATCCAAACTTTTATCAACTGTCTTGAAGACTCTTAGCAAGGTCATACAAACTTCTACTTCCCCATGCAGTTGAAAGAAACAGCCATGAGTATTTCCCCGGAAGACCCCTGTCCATTTTGATCTAAAAACAGCACTAAACTCATTTCGGTTAACAACCACACGAATTCACCGGGTCTTGTGGCTGCGCTTCAGTGGCCTTCTTCCCCCTCCCAGGGGCTTCGCAGTTGCCCGCGTGGCCACTGGGAGGGCGGGCGGGAGTTCACTCCCGCCCACGCACACACACAGATACACACACCAGGAGCCAAGAAGGCCAAAACTCAGGGCTGGTAGGCAGCTTTCCGAGTCTTAGGTCTTAGGGCCAACTTCTACGATATCAAGGGAAAGCTTTGAGGCCATACCCATCCAAACCACTCTGAATGTGGGCAGCAAATCGGCTTACACAACCCTCGTGATTGTCCAAGGATTTCTGGAAGGTCCACTCAAAAATGTTCAACAGCCGAACTTGGCATTGCCAATCATCATCACCCAGTTCATTTTTTCAGGGTGGTTCCCTTGGTTGCCTGCTACTATACCAGTAAAACACGGTGTCATTTAAGACCCCCTTCACGCTTCCCCAGTTTTCTTGACTCTTGCCTGATTTGTTCAAGAAGCCCGCGCGGGAAGTTTGCAAAGTCATCCATGTGAATCAGGCCCGTTGGGCATGTTTGTGCAATTGTACACTTCCCTGAGCACGTTTAAGCAACACTTGGAGCAACTGTGGTTGGAATTGGTCTAAGGGTGATGTTTGCTGGGTTCTCCTCCAATGAAACAGAGTCAGACAATGTGTGGGTGGGTGTGTGTTTTCGCACGTACCCCTCTTTTGTGGTCTTAAAGGGACACCAAACGCGCGCCCCCCAAAAACCCCACAGGGCAAAGCTTAGCCTGGCAGCGCTCAGCACCCCCCGCTCAGCGCTCCGAGTTTGGCCTCGCAGGTGGACATCAACAACGCCAACATCCAGGACCGGGGCTTTATGTTGAACCGTCACGCCGTAGCAGGGAACCGTTGACCCCCCCCCACCCCCCCTTCCCCCCCCAAAAATAGTATTAAGACAGACAAATCAAAGAAAGCACAAAACAAACAAATAGATGCTGGAAGAACATCTCGGTTTGAAGCCCGAGATGGCGCTTGTTGCAGCTCAAAGCCAGAAACCATTTATCTAGCTTGCCACTTGGAGTTTGGCTTTGTTGGTGCAAATAGTGTCTCCTGTGCCAGGAATGCCCCCCTCAAGTGTTTTTGGGAAGCCTGCAAGCGGTGTTACCGAACCGAAGCTGCAAAATCACATTTCCCCCTTTTTAAGGGGGTTCGGTCAAAGCGCAATGGTTTTAAGGTTCCATGGTCCATGTTAGCTGCTAAAAACATAATGTTGATATGTTCTTCCCCAAGAGAAACCAACGATGGACAATGATCAGTGTTTCCAAAAAAACATGTAGACCCCATATGGGCGTATCCTCTTTTTATTTTTTTTCCGGGGGCCCCGGCCAAAAGGCAATCATATATACATATATATGTGCATATGCACATGTAGAGATAAACACACATATATATATATATATATACATGTGAACATATATATATATATACATCTACATATTCTTATATGTATACATATATGTATATTATATATGTGAGGGTCTTCCTTTTGCCATGAAACAGCACCAAGTCCGTTGCAACGTCTCCGAGGCCTACCGCCAGTTCCCCGGGATGTTCCCCACCATCGCGGGGCTGATCGGCACCCACGGCCCCTACAAGGCCCAAAGCGCCCCAAGCGAATCGACCGGTTGACCTTTTGGTTTTCCCTTTGAGTCAAGCCGCTGGCTTCCTCAAAGGACAGTCCGTCAAACCTCGCTTCCTGAAATCCTGGACTACTTTTTGGCAAGACAATTGCAGTGGTCGTTAAACTTTGGTGCATGTTGCCAAGGGATGTTAGGACTGAATGACTTTTTGCCAGCTAATGGGTTTTCCGTATTAAACCACTAAAGGTCATTCACTTTTAGCAGGGGAGCAGAAAGCAACCGAGTTCCCTTGTTGGTCCATTTTTAGTAAAGGTCCCAAATAGTAAAGGTCCCAAAAGGTTACCCTTTTATTTTTGGGTCCTTTGGGAAGGCGGTGGGCGACATCTACAACATCCCGGGCATGGAGGACGGATCCGGCGGGGCGGGCGGAGCCGCCTTTCGTGGCATCCCAAAATGGCTGAAAGGTTTTCGTCTGAACCTTCCCTCAAAAAAGATAGACATATGGGCGCGCATGGGCACTTGGCTATTTTGCAGGCTCAAGAAGGTTGCAGAATAGACTAAGTGTACAGCAGCCCCCCTTGCCCAAAATAAGACTCAGAGGGGATCTGGTGAAGTGGTTCTGAGGAAACCGGGGAGATGGCTTTCATTGGATCCAACCTCTTTCCTAAACCCTCTCTTTTCTGGTTTCCATGAAGTCGGGCCTCGTTGCCTGACTCGGGCTTCACTGACGGAAACTAGGGGCCGCAGGAGCTGGAGGGGCTTTGGGATGTTGAGCGTTCGGCCGGTGAGTCCAAATGCTGACCCACATATTAATATCAACCCCAGTTTATTTACTAGGGGTCCCGGTGTCCAACTGGGTTTAGTGGTTGGGATCAAACCACTCTTGGGGGGAACACCCCACTATCAATAAATTGGGGTTGATTGATCTTGGTGGCTCCCAGCCATCCCCTTAGCTTTTTAGCTTTTTAGTGTTTAGTGGGGTTTTCCATTTAGCCCACTACAAGTTAAACTTTTAGCGGGGGATCTGAGGACAGCCTAGTGATCTGGGGTCATGAAGTATGCCCAGCGATAGGCACCTCCTTCTCAGGGTCTCTGGTCTTAAGCCTCACCGGTGGGGTGGGGGGGGGATCGGGTGGATCTTTTGGATTTTCCGAAGGAGCAAATGCAGCCTGCGACCCTTTTGACCATCTCACTTGCCCAGAGCGAATCGACCCTTGCCTTTTGGTTTGATCAAGGTTCCAAGAGGTTAACCTCTTTTTGGTAAGCCACCCCAAGAGCACCCAAGTCACTCACGTGGCTGAAGGGGGAAATCAAAGGCTTATCCAAGAAAATGTGCATTTCGACCTATGTGGATGTTTTTATTCAGCCCCATGGCAAGACGGTTGTCCTTTTAGTTGCCCGTGGCACAAAGGCGAGGCAGCCCCCCTTCCCAAAAAAAAACAAAAAATGAACACTAGCCGAGGCACCGAGGCTTTCTGGAGGTTTCCCTTCAGGCGGCTGGAAGCCAGCAGCCCTGTCAGGAGAGTTACAAGACCACCATCAAGAAGTACGAGGCCAACCTGGTTTGCCACTTGGGATGGTGTTTATGTCTTAAGTCTCGTTTGTTCTGCGTATCAAAACAACCCTTAGTCCTTGTGGATTCCGGATTGGGGATCCAGGACCCCATTTCGAGCCGCCCAGTTACCAACATGTGCAGGGCGTTTCCTGCCAAGCTGAACATGGCACCTCGAAGCAAATCGATCCTGGGAATCTTGTTCCAGCCTTGTTTTGGCACTAAGCTTTATGTCTCAGGTATAAAGCCAACAGGAAACCCTTTCAATTGGAAGCACTTGGATTCGAAGGCCCTCCTGCTCAGTTGCATCCCTTTTTGCTTTGGTGGATTCCCCACTCAAAACATCCCCCCCACGCAAAAAGAAGAAGAAGCAAACAAAACAAACAGAAAACAACAGCAACTTTACTCTCCCGGAGCTGGACAGACAAGGCAGGCCGCCAGTTCAGGCGCGTGAACCTAGGCCTGCCCGCAAACCCAGCCTATTTCATCGACCGCATCAACAACGGCATGTACCGCTGAGCATGGACAGAGGTCAAGCACCGGTCGCCCGCAAGTGGTGCAAAGCTGGTCGCTGGCTCTTTCAGAGGGCTTGGTGGATTGGTTCGCTGCTTTCTGTTCGGGGAGTGGGCCCATTTTTTTTGAGAGTGCCGCTTTTTCAATGTTTTTTAAGGGGATTCAAAGGATACCAGCCATGGTTGGAGTTTTCCTGGGGCGAATCCATGTGATGCTCTGAGCAAATGTATTTTGTCGTTCGACCTACCAGTTGCACCACGTCCGCGCGTTGCGTGCGGGATGGGGCTTGTGCTTCAAGTACAGTGGCCGTGGGCTTTTTGACGCCCGGATGCCAGATTTTACCAGCGTCGGGAAGAAAATTGCGGCCACCTGCCGATGTTGAGAGCTCCGATTTGGACAGAGTTCTGGCGGTCCGTTTGAGCCAGGCAGTGTTTTACAGCTCAAGCAGCGCACCGTGCGGTCCCTTAGGTTTTTATGGTTTTTCGTTGGTTTAGTGGTTGGGTTTGCATTAGGCCTCGCTTTCTGAGCTCCTGGTTGTCTTTGGGGAGACCATGTTAGGGGTAAATAGAAAGCTCCAACCTGTTTTCTAGCTGGTCCACTCAGGAAGTGAGTAGCCCACAAGATAAACTTTTAACAGGGGATCTGAGGACAGCCCAGTTTGGCATCCCGCGAATGAACCCAATACACTAGAGTCGCTTGTAAGCGAACCGATTGCAAGTTCCATGCCGCAAGTTTGTGCATGACCCAGGCCAGGCAAAGGTTTGTGCAGGTCAAGGGCCAAACAAATAACCCATCTCAAAGAATATGTCCTTCAGCCTCCAGCCCCGGTTTCCGAACCTCATGGAGAACGTTTGTCAACAACATGTAGAGACCAAAGGCTCTCTTTGAAAGATCCGTTTCAGGCGGTTTTCAGGAGCCCCAAGGCAAGTGAGGCGATCTTGGAGGCCTTGCAGGCCTTGGGATTCCCTCTTGCAAGGGTGACTGCCCCCAACCAAACCACACACACACACCTAGATAGCCAAGTTGCGATCGTTTTTGTTCAGTCACTGTTGCTGGTTTTTGGGGGGTAACGTGCATGGACAAAAAGCGATTGCCACTGGCGATCCAGGCGCACACTTTTCTAGAGGCCTCCAAAGCGGTTTTCTTTTCGGCCTCCTTTGAGAGCTACCCCTTCGCCTCGAAAACGAGGAGGCCTCCACTGGGGAAGGCCGGGGGAAGCCAATGACCTGCGTCAGGACTGCGTGGTGCACCGCACTTGCCGCGCCGCGTGCTACCTCAAGCTCGGCAGGCGGTTTTTCTCGGATGTGGTTTGGAGTTTCTCGGGGGGGAGGCCGTACGCGCCCATGATAGGAGGAGCCCCAAACATTGTTTCTTGTTCTTTTTTTTGGGGGGGGGGGTTGCGTTGCGTTTGGCCTTCCTTTTTGCAGCCATCCACGAAGAAGGCAAAGGGGACACCTTAGAACTTCCGGCTATTCTACCCAGGTTTTGTGCTTCACATGGTCTCCAAAAAGGTTTCTCTTTAGCATCACAGAGTTTCCCTCAACAAGCATGTCTTGGACCCACTAGTCGGTTCCAAGGTGGGTGGCCTGATTTCAGTCTGATTTGGGCAAGTGGCAAGTCTTGACAGTTTTCCAGATGAGTGGCTGTGATGGGTCAAATGTGCGCCATGTACCAACAATTTTGCCCTGCTACAAGACGAACTTCGCCCGGATATCTGAGGGTTGCGGGCTTTGGGGTTTGACTCTGGGGCCTTCGGAGTCCCACGGTCGACTTCCAGGTCGTAGATCAAATCACAAGGGCAATGCCTTAAAGCAGGCGCAGGGATTGCCGATTCTCGGGTAGTCCTTAGTTGATGGTTTGAATCTGGTTCTTGTGCAAATGGGGAACCACCCCCTGACTCACTCCCGGAGTTTCTGGACGGGCCATGTTGGTGGGAGAATAACAAGTTCAAGCTGTTTCTGGCCAACCCACTCAGGAAACCATCCAAAGCACCAATTGGAAGGTGGCCGATATTTGGACCCTTCTGAGATCTTCTGAGAAGAAAGGCCTCTTACACGACTCTTAGGTGCCTCCGGAGCCTCGAAACACTTCGGGTCGTGGGGGTCACCTAGCTGGTGTCACCCCTGAATTTTTAGGCCATGGATGGTGTCTGCGGTTTGCATGGCCATCGCCATTGGTTGGGGTCCCTAGGCCCTTTCGGCTCAAGCTGCTCGGTCCGCGCTTGCGGACTGTGACAGCAGATATGTCAGGATGCAAAATTCATTTCCTCGCAGCCCGGCTCGGTTTTGGGGGAAGCCCGCTCGGGTTGGGGGTTGGGGAGTTTGACGTTTGGATTGGCGGTTTGCGGATGTGAGCCCTTCGTCCTTGAGGAAACCACAAGCAACCGAGCCAAACCACAGATTTGAGGGAAGCCGATTACTTGCAGGCGGGTGGGGATCCGAGCTTACGGATTTTCAAAAGTTGACCGACACTTGAACGACTGCGAAGAAATGCTCACACTTTATCTCCGGGTCTTGTGAGAAGGGCGCAATCGTGGAAGTAGGCAGGGGTTGTCCACCATCCTCTTGAAACGGCCCGCTTGTTCCACTTCCGTGATGTCTTGCTCTTTGTGCGGCCGGTCCACGCAAAGAAAACGCTCGCTCAACCCCGAAAACAACCTCAGCCCCGAAAGGAGCTCCAAATATTTTGCCACCAGGGTACCGGGTTTGTCCAATCGGCATGGACCATTGGAGGGCACCGCAGCGTGGAAATTAAGTCGAACCCGTTTCGCTGGCGCTAGGGGTGGGTCTCTGGGTGGATCCACCTGATGGGTATGGGTCAAAATTTTAAACCACCAGGATATGGACCGCAGGTTTCGGTCCCATGTTTCCACTTGCCAGGGTTCCATTTCAGGTACCTATTCTTGACCCACAGCCATATTGAAGAAGTAGCAAAAGAGTACTAAGAGAGGAGCTATAGAAGAGGGGGACTATAAGCTGGATTTGTGCTACAAACAATTTGATGCAAACGCCCCCGGTTTTTGGTTGATTGGGTCTTCGTGTGGTTTTGGATCTGGGGATCCCCGGAAGATCGATTTAGCGATGCTCCGATTAAATGACCTGAGGATCGTTCCGAAGGGTCGCCCCATTCAAAGGCTGAATGTGTTCCAAAGATGCAGCTCTGGTGAGAGCCCCGGTGTTATTGCTTGTTCATAAGCTTGTGGCTGAACTAGGGGAAACTCGCCACCGAAGGGTCCCGAACTGGTGATGGAGTTGAGTATGAGTCCGCGCAACCAGCCTTTGACGCATGAGCCAGAGCATTGTGTCGATATCCCAGGTCAGCATTGCAATCTATTTGCTCTTATGCGTGCCGGTCAGATCAGTTAGGCGCCAGTTGGTCGAAATTGTGGGAAGGCCAGTGGGCAAATCCGTGCAGAAGAGCACGCGTGGCATTCACAGCTGACACTTAGGCTGATTCCCGGCTTTGGTCAATACGGCTGTGAAGCCAACGGTGCCATTTTGGGGTAGGTGAATGCACCACCCATTTGAGTCTACGGGCTTTTGGAGTCCATGGCCATATAGTCGGGCAGCGCGCTATGGGGAGAGGGGGCCACTGACGTGTTTTGTTTTAATGGCGGACGGCTTGGGCCTTGTATCGCCTGGACCTCAGCTGGAAATCACGCTATTCGGCATTGGCGGGATAGGGCAAATGGGAAACTACTGCTGAACCAAACCACCAATCCCATCCACCAACTGGGAAGCTGAATTCAGGTTTTTAATTACACATGTGCAATTGTCGGTTTATATTTGCACCCTTGTAGGGATGGGCTTTGATGCCTTTTGCCGAAATGTGGGGCTACACTTCCCATATCTGGGTCCCATTGTCCCATTCTGACGGGGCCCTTGGCGACCCGTACAAGCTTTTTTTGTGACAAATGGGTTGGTTTCCGACAAGGCTTCGCTCCACTAGTTTGTGATGCTTGGAGTACTGGTCCAGAAAACGGCTTGGATGATTTGATCGGTTCTTCCCCCGGTTGGCCCTTTTTAAGCAATCTTTTATAACTCTTTTGACATCTTACCGGGGTGGACCCACAGATTCGCCACATCCAAACCGTTTTCTAGAAGTGGTTTGAACTTGATTTGAGCCGACAATTGCAGCGAGCTCGGCCTGCGGGTTGCTTCTTTGTGATTTTGTGTGGAGAGGCCTACCTTTAAAATTGACAAAAGAAAGGTGGCCACGTTTGTTTATCCCATGGCCGAAAATCTGGAAAGCTCCGTGGTTTAATGGGGATCCCGGACCCAAATGATGTCCACCAAAGGGTCCCCTATTGAAATTCACTGCCCCTTTTAAAGTCTCACTTGGTTTATTGGGCTGTCCATTGGTTAGTGGGCCATGCGCCACCCCGCCTTTTTGCGGCTCCTTTGGGTAGGTTGCAACCCCCCCCCTCCCAGAAAAAAAGAGAGAAGCAAACCAACCAAAATGTGGGTACCCTCAAACAACGGCATCCTTTCTTCGCAGATCAACAGTAGAGGGGTTCTATATGCCCATTGGTATGAAACGTCAGCTTGGTTGGGAATCCAGCTGGGCAGTTGTCACTCGAGGGCTGGGTCATGATTCTGGGCCTTGCTGCTTTCTGTGATACCCCAAGAAAGAGTCCCCCTTGAAGATACCCTCCCGCAAATTGACATGTCAGGTTAGTGGTGGGAGGGTGACGTAATCTTGACGACCAAATTTGGTATCACAAAAACGGCTTTTCACAACCCCGTTTGTTGTTTTCAGAAGCCTTCTTGCACCGGCAAACAGCTCACTTTTTGCAGCGGGATTACTCCCCGGCAAACCCAGCAAAGGGGACCGAGACCCAAGGGATTCCTCTACACATGGCGTGTTTGTGGGTTCCATGTTAATCTGCAGGGGCGCATTTGTTGTTGGTTTTGATTTGTGGTTTGGATTTGGACTTGACGCCTGTTTCTTTTAAAGGGTTAATGGGAAACCACCCCCCAAACAGCAAACCACAAATCCAAACCGACTCTCCATTCAGTTCTTGGCCAGTGTTTTGTTTTTGACACTGTCCAAAAGGCCAGAAACGGCCAGTTTTTGGGTCAAGTCCATATGACGATTCCCAGACGCATTCTCCGGTCGATTTGGCGGTGTCGCAGCCGGCCGGTCAGGGAGTCGGTGTTGAGTGATGAGCTGGACAGTTACGCAGTCGCGGCTCGGACTGACTCGGACGCGTGGATTCGTGGATTGGGGTGCGCGAGTGGTTCTGGGAAAACAGGGGGGACCACGTAACGGAGACCACCTGAGTTACCCTCACTTCCTGAGTTCCTGGACTTCCAGTTTTTTGGGGATTGGACCCTTAGGGTGGTCAACAAGGCGTGTTTCTTTACTTGTCTGGCCCATCCACTCGGTGAGAAATGACATGGCCTCTCTTTGAGCCACTTGGGGAGTACTTCACGCGGTCAATTTGTCAGCCCCTCCTCCAGGGGCCTCAGGTTTGAGGAGGGAGCAAGGTCATAAACCGTGTCGTGGTGATATTCAGGGAGGATAATAGTGTTTTTTGTGTTTTTGGGGGTTTCGCCCCAAACATCACTGAATGTTTGGGTTTTCGGTGTAGGGTTGTGTTAGGCTAGTGGTTTATTTCCACTCTTTGTCAATGAAACAATCTGTCGCTCGCAACAGGTTCCAGACGAAGAAGCAAGTGGATGGCTCCCAAGTCTGTGGCCCTCACTCATGCACATTCATGTTTGATTCTCCCTAAATTTGTGTGGTTTGGGTGGGGTTTGAACCCCAGCTTTTCCTTGTCAACACCCAAGCCGAGGGGTAGCTGATTGAAGGCATACCGGCAAAACGCTTTCCAAAAGGAAAGTTGTCCTCAAAAGTGTTCGATGCACCACACCCGGTTCCAAAAGAACAGCTGCCGTGTTTGTTTCTACCGGGGTCATGAGGAGGGCAAACCATTGGTGCATTTTGCTTGGATGTTAGGACTTTAACTTGTTGCCAACTATATAATGGGTTTTCCATTAAACCACTAAAGGTTATTCACTTTTAGCAGGGGATCAGAAAGCAACCGAGCAACCATTTGACAGGTCAGAGCTGCTTCCCCCTGCAGCCAGCCCACCAGCTGTGAAAGCTTCGATACCAACAACCAGCTACGATCACCCTTTGTCGGGTCTGAGACAAAACACGCCTGGCACGAACCAACAACGGGAGCCTCGGAACCTGTTGCCGTTCATCAGTCTTTGCCCTCTGGGCTGGTTTCAAAGATTCGGTTTGTGGGTTTTTGCATTGTTCGGGCTGGTTTCAAAGATTCCGTTTGTTGGTTTTTTGGTCTTTTCTTGGGCGATTCGGTTTCAAAGATTGTTTTTTTTGTTTTTGTTGTTTTTTTTGCTTTTTTTTTGGCAAACAACATGTGATTTCAACTCAGACGTGGATCCCGCCTCACGGATCTCCTTCCCAGGGGAGCCTGGACCCGGACCCGGAGGAAGGCGCGGAGGGCCCACGAGGTCAGCAGAAACAACTTTAGAGCCTCCCAACTTTAGAGCCTCCGGCTCAGTCCGCCGACATTGTCCTCTCCCTTTTCTCCTTCTTCCTCTCTCCCTTGTCTCCCTGGTGTGTTCTGTCGTCCTCTCTCCCTCCCTCTGCTCCCCAACCTCCCCATCCCCCCATCTCTCCCCAATCCCCCTCTCTCGTATGTATGTATGTATGTATGCATGTATGCGTACGTATGTATGTATGCATGCATGCATGTATGTATGTATGTATGTAATGTATGCATGTATGCATGTATGTATGTATGCATGTATGTAATGTATGTATGTATGTATGTATGTATGTATGTATGTATGTATGTATGTATGTATGTATGTATGTATGTATGTATGTATGTATGTATGTATGTATGTATGTATGTATGTATGTATGTATGTATGTATGTATGTATGTATGTATGTATGTATGTATGTATGTATGTATGTAATGTAATGTATGTAATGTATGTAATGTAATGTATGTAATGTATGTAATGTATGTATGTATGTATGTATGTATGTAATGTAATGTAATGTAATGTAATGTAATGTAATGTAATGTAATGTAATGTAATGTAATGTATGTAATGTAATGTATGTAATGTAATGTAATGTAATGTAATGTATGTATGTATGTATGTATGTATGTATGTATGTATGTATGTATGTATGTATGTATGTATGTATGTATGTATGTATGTATGTATGTATGTATGTATGTATGTATGTATGTATGTATGTATGTATGTATGTATGTATGTATGTATGTATGTATGTATGTATGTATGTATGTATGTATGTATGTATGTATGTATGTATGTATGTATGTATGTATGTATGTATGTATGTATGTATGTATGTATGTATGTATGTATGTATGTATGTATGTATGTATGTATGTATGTATGTATGTATGTATGTATGTATGTATGTATGTATGTATGTATGTATGTATGTATGTATGTATGTAATGTATGTATGTATGTATGTATGTATGTATGTATGTATGTATGTATGTATGTATGTATGTATGTATGTATGTATGTATGTATGTATGTATGTATGTATGTATGTATGTATGTATGTATGTATGTATGTATGTATGTATGTATGTATGTATGTATGTATGTATGTATGTATGTATGTATGTATGTATGTATGTATGTATGTATGTATGTATGTATGTATGTATGTATGTATGTATGTATGTATGTATGTATGTATGTATGTATGTATGTATGTATGTATGTATGTATGTATGTATGTATATGTATGTATGTATGTATGTATGTATGTATGTAATGTATGTATGTATGTATGTATGTATGTATGTATGTATGTATGTATGTATGTATGTATGTATGTATGTATGTATGTATGTATGTATGTATGTATGTATGTATGTATGTATGTATGTATGTATGTATGTATGTATGTATGTATGTATGTATGTATGTATGTATGTATGTATGTATGTATGTATGTATGTATGTATGTATGTATGTATGTATGTATGTATGTATGTATGTATGTATGTATGTATGTATGTATGTATGTATGTATGTATGTATGTATGTATGTATGTATGTATGTATGTATGTATGTATGTATGTAATGTAATGTAATGTATGTAATGTATGTAATGTAATGTATGTATGTATGTATGTATGTATGTATGTATGTAATGTAATGTAATGTAATGTAATGTATGTAATGTAATGTAATGTAATGTATGTATGTATGTAATGTATGTATGTAATGTATGTATGTATGTATGTATGTATGTATGTATGTATGTATGTATGTATGTATGTATGTATGTATGTATGTATGTATGTATGTATGTATGTATGTATGTATGTATGTATGTATGTATGTATGTATGTATGTATGTATGTATGTATGTATGTATGTATGTATGTATGTATGTATGTATGTATGTATGTAATGTATGTATGTATGTATGTATGTATGTATGTATGTATGTATGTATGTATGTATGTATGTATGTATGTATGTATGTATGTATGTATGTATGTATGTATGTATGTATGTAATGTAATGTAATGTAATGTAATGTAATGTAATGTATGTATGTATGTATGTATGTAATGTAATGTAATGTAATGTAAACTAATATAATGTAATATAATGTAATGTTGTGTAATGTAATGTAATGTATGTATGTCTGTATGTCTGTATGTATGTATGTATGTATCCTTGCACTTCCCCTTTGCTCCCCAGTATTTCCCGCAAACAACACGGTTTTTCCAGCGTTTTCGCAAAGAGGATGTCCAAAAACACAGAGTTTTGCCAGATTTTCGGCAAAAGGATGCAGGAAGCCCAAGCCAGCAAAAAAGCCGGCAGGGGGAATCGAGCCTGGGACCCCTGTTTTGCGACACCGGCTCCCCGAAGACTACGTTTAGTGGAACGTCATCAAATTGCCGCGCGGTCCTATCCCACGTCAGGGGGGGGTTATCCTCTATCCTCTCTTAGGTGTCCGACACGCCGAGCAATGTCGGCGGATTTGCTCAGTGGCTCAGTCGCCCCCCTTTGTCCTCGTTTTTTTTTTTGGGGGGGGCGGGTTTGGGTGGCCCCACTAAAATGGTCCAAGCCCCAAAAAGTGTTCCATTTTTTTTTTGGGGGGGGAGGCGGTTTTGGGAGGGCTCCCGAGCTACTCAGTTGCTCAGTGACACCAAATGTTCTTTTTCCGTTTCTTTTCTTGGGGTGGCTGCCCCCACTAAAATGGTCCAAGCCCCAAGAAGGGTGCCCTTTTTTTCTCCAGGGTCACTGAACAACCGAGCTTGTGGGTGTGGCGCAAAAAAAACATAAGAAGCTGGGGCAAAGCGCGGGTTTAAATTTCTTTGGTTCCATTTGCCTTTTGGCGCCGTTCTGGTTTCTATTTGTTGGCCACAGCCACACACAGCCATCACAAAAAATGGCCTGAGGGAGGGCAAGTCACGGGTTGCAGGCTAAATGGTGGGAGCTGGAAAAAAACAAACCGCTGAAGTAGGTTGCACCGGTTCCATCTGCTGAAGTCATATATCTATATGATTTGTTATTATTATAGCAATTATTATTGCTATTACTTGGCATCTATCACTATTGGGGATATGTGTGTTGTTTGCCCAGGGGGCGACAAAGCAAATGGAGGTATAGCAACGCATATATTGCATTTTGGTTTGGTAGGCGATTCCAAGTTGATCTTACCAAGAGCCTGCATTGCTTCCATTGTACAGTATCATATCAACCCAAGCCACACTAACCGAAACGAAGAGGGAAAGACAAGCAGTGAAAAACTTCAGGCCACTCAGAGGGATAGGAAGAGAGAGAGAGAGAGAGAGAGAGAGAGAGAGAGAGAGAGAGAGAGAGAGAGAGAGATAGAGAGAGAGAGAGAGAAACTGTTTCTTGGGGTGAGGGCATCTGGGAAATCAAGCACGGGCGAGAATTCTATCAGATCAAAGAACAAATTATGTGGGTTCTGGGGATGTCCCCATATGAGCCTTGTAGGCTTTAGCATCTCCAGTTTGACGCGCGAATCTTAGAATTCCAACCAGGGGGAAGCAAGTGGCCACTTCCCGGCTGATTCAGTGGAACCCGCGGTGTTTGCTGGGGGTTCTTAACTAGAATGGGAATGGGTCAAAATTAAATCACCAGGGGGCCGCATATTTGTAGGCCATGTTTCCATTCACCAGGGCAACCCATTTTGAGCACCTATTTTTGACCCACAGCCAACTGGTCAACCACAAGCTTGCTAGTCCTTCCACCACCCCGATTGGCCAGAAGTGCCGGGCCAAATGCAAACCGCACCGGAGTGTCCGCCAGGTCCGGGCATAGATGTCAGGCGGGGAAGGGCGCAAGACCAGCGACTGATGTGAACCGAATTTTCTGGGGGTTCTCCGATCCCAGAAGCTTGCTCGGGCGTGCTTGTTTTGAGGCTGCCCTCTCTTCTTTTTTTTTGGATCGGTTTAAAGGGAAGCCAAAAGGAAAAAACCACCCGGTTGGGGGGCTTTGGGCCCTAACCAAAGAAACACACGGTTTGAATTTTTAGGGCAGGCTAAGTATGGCTTTTTTTTTGCTTAGGAGCCCTATTTGTTAGTTGGTTCTAAAGGGAAGCCAAAAGGAAACCAACCAATTGGGCCCAGCTTTGAGAAACCCAGAATCGGCAAACAAAGGCGAGATTCTGTGCATGGGTACAGGGCTCGAGCGCTCTTTGCGGGTGCTACGGAAACCCGCGATTTTTGCTTGGTTCTGTTTTTTGACTGCTTTTGCTTTGGTTTCATTATAGCCACCCCCAAAAAGGGTGCCCTCCAGAAAAGCAGACCCAACTCTTTTCCTCACTTGAGCTTCTGGACTTTGAGCTTTCAAAGGATGCTGGTCCATTCGCTCAAGATTACCCTGAGAGCAAACCACCACAAACCACAAGGACCCCCTCCCCCCCCCCCCCCAAATTGGTGGTTTGGAGCCGGATCGGTGGTTTGCAGTTTTGGGGCTAGCTTCCCCATTTGGTTGCAAAGAGCTCAAATCCGCTCTTGGGCTTCCCTGGAAAGTGATCCGGACCTCTAAACTGAGCCACGTCTTTGTTCAACCAGGAGCTGTGTCCTGGGCGGCGAGGGGGGGAAGCACTGTGACTTGAGCAACTGTCCACACTCGCTGTCGCCATATTGCAGCCGGCTGGGAAACCGGCAAAAGTGGTTCTCTTGGACGGCCAAGACATTGTGTTCGTTGATTCGCGTGACATGTACGACAGTCGCTGGGGGATTCATAAAATCCGCAGTGTGTTGTTGAAACCAGACGAAGTGCTGCACAGTAAAGGACGACCTCTGACTCGATGTGAGTGAAATCAGGCCTGGTAACAAGCTGGAGGATGATGTCGAGGGAATTGCCGCCTTCAACGAGGGAGAGGGCGAGGACGGGTTGGCTTGCTTGGGGCCCTTTTCCCGGACACCCAGTGGGTTGCTTCGTTTTTGCAACTCTCTTTTTTGGAGGGCGGTTCCGATATCCAAAGAAAGGGTGCCCCTTTTTCCCACGGAAATCCAGTGAAGGTCTGGTCGAGAGGCGCGGTTTGATTCCGTTGGGGATGCGAAGGGACGAGCCACTTTTTGCGCACTGCCATTGGCGCTGAGACTCTGGTTCAAAGGGTTGATTCCCGTTCTTTCTAGACAACCAGTCTCGCAGGGGTGTGGCACTTAAAAAAAAAAGACGCGCTCTGAAGATCCTAAGTTCAAAGACATGTGCTCTAGTGGGTTTGGATTGGCGGTTTGGGCTGCAATGCGGGGCTGTTTGCCCACAAAGGGCGTCTTCGGCAAACCTGCATTAAGCTCCCCGCATTTGTTTTGTTGCCCTTGTTTCGAGGACCCCATTTGTTCAGTGAAGGGTCGATCGAACCTAGATCACCTTAACGGTGCTTGCACTCAACTTGCGATCATGTGTGTAGCATCCTGGCATACTAGAACCCACCCCGTTGAACTTCAAACACCCGAAAAGTCCAACAGAAGCGGACTGCTACCCTCGAAGCCTGACCTGAACATGGCACACAAAACATGGGCTCAAGATGGTCCATCCCTGTTCGCCTGTTTCGGGCTGTTCCGGAAACGACTTGTCGGAGGATTGCCACCAAACCTCGGCGTGCAGATCTGTAGATGTCAGGTTTGGGTCGGGGTAAACACCCAAAAGGGCCCCTTTTTATGTGCAAAAGATTAGCGACACCCTCATTGTTTTATGTGGCTGTTGGGTTTTCCACCCAACATGGTCAACAAACCGAAAAGGGATTCAATTCTTGTTCTCGAGTCACTGACTGCAACTGAGAAGCTTTAGTGGCATGCCACCAGGTTTGACTTTTCGTGGCTCACCCACTCAGTGAGAATTTCCAGACATTGTCAAAACCTGCCCGGTCAACAAGAAGAAGCGCTTCAAGCTTGAATCCAGCCAAGGCAGAAGCTAGTTTTTGTTCAGAAAAACAGAAATTGGCCATGGCAAGGGTGATTACGGTGCGACAGCTGTCTGGGCCAGAGGAGGCATTCGAATTGCCGAAAGACATGACACTCGGTGAGTTCAAAGGGCGGCTGCACGGGTGGCTGCCCTGCGCAGATGAGTTAAAGCGCAGCATGAGCTGTGTGGAGGTGGTTGTTGGAGACCGGCCGTTGTTGAACAACGAGGGGATGGTGTCGGAAGCCATTCCAGGTACAGAAGTTCTGGCTTTTCTCAGCGTCAAGCCGGTGAAGTGCTGCGAAGCTGCAGCATCTGGCTGCGATCCTGACGATTTGCGCGTAGTGGAAATTCCAGAAGGCCTGCCCGAAGTTGGGTATGCTGCCTTTCAAGGTTGCAGCTCGTTGGTAAGCGTGTCCATTCCCAACTCAGTGACTGAGATTGGAAAAAGCGCCTTTGAAGGTTGCAGCTCATTGGCCAGCGTGTCCATCCCTGACTCCGTGACTGTGATCGGATGTGGTGCCTTTCATGGCTGCAGCTCATTGGCAACTGTGATCATCCCCAACTCCGTGACGGCTATCGGAGTAGGGGCTTTTGCAAGTTGCTGCTCGTTGACAAGCGTGGCCATCCCCAATCATGCCGCTGATATCGGATCGTTTGCCTTCAAAGGCTGCAGCTCATTGTCAACTGTGATCATCCCCGACTCTGCTGAAATCGTACATGATGCTTTCGCAGGCTGTAGCAACGATTTGTCACTGAATGGGACAAAACACATTTGCCAGAGCGACCACGTTGCAGAAACTGGAACGCTCATGTGAGGTGCGGTCAGGGTGTGAGGTTCGGTCAGGCATAGTCAGAGGGAGCTTTGGACAAAACAGTTTATTTGAGGCTTCCTTGCTGTGGAACGAGAACGGAACAAAACAGGTCGTTGTGTCTTTGTGATGTAAACGGCATAAATATGTAACAAATGTTGAATCTCGTTAGCTAAGTGAATGCGGTTTGAAAATCCAGGTTAGGCTTGGCCCAATCCTTGCGTGTAGGCTGTGCTTACTTGGGGAATCCTCACCCTCGTAAACTCTATTTAGGTTTCCCTTGTCTTCTTCACACTCAAAAGTGGGCAAGACCAGTCGAATGAATTTGGGGGAGCTCAACCCCCCCCCCCGAAAGGTGTAGCGAGCAACAACCAGTTAGCACATGGAACCCTAATTGCGGCCGACCCATTTCCTGGGAAGCCAAACGACTCGATCGCAAGTGAGCCACTCCAAACCTAGATCCCCCAGTACTGCCCTTTCGTTTTTTGGGGGAGGCTTCCCCTACTAAAATGACTACCGGAAAAAGGGTACCCTTATTCTAACCTCTCTACTGGAGGACCTAGTCTTGGTTTGGACCATTTGGCGGGCCAAACGACTCGATCGCAAGTGAGCCACTCCAAACCTAGGTCCCCCAGTACTGCCCTTTCACCCTTTTTTGGGGGAGGCTTCCCCTACTAAAATGACTACCGGAAAAAAATCGGGTACCAACTTATTCTAACCTCTCTACTGGAGGACCTAGTCTTGGTTTGGACCATTTGGCGGGCCAAACGACTCAATCGCAAGTGAGCCACTCCAAACCTAGGTCCCCCAGTACTGCCCTTTCACCCTTTTTTGGGGGAGGCTGCCCCTACTAAAATGACTACCGGAAAAAGGGTACCCTTATTCTATCCTCTCTACTGGAGGACCTAGTCTTGGTTTGGGCCATTTGGCGGGCCAAACGACTCAATCGCAAGTGAGCCACTCCAAACCTATAAAATGACTACCGGAAACAGGGTACCCTTATTCTAACCTCTCTACTCGAGGACCTAGTCTTGGTTTGGACCATTTGGCGGGCCAAACGACTCGATCGCAAGTGAGCCACTCCAAACCTAGGTCCCCCTTTCACCCTTTTTTGGGGCAGGCTTCCCCTAGTAAAATGACTACCGAAAAAAGGGTACCCTTATTCTAACCTCTCTACTGGGAAGCTTCCCCTACTAAAATGACTACCGGAAAAAGGGTACCCATATTCTCTCTACTGGAGGACCTAGTCTTGGTTTGGACCATTTGGCGGGCCAAACGACTCGCGGGATCCCCGGAAGGTCTCGCGCGCAGCAGGAGCCGAAGAGGTCGCAGAAGCCCGAGCCAGAGCCGGAGATCGAGGTGCACCATCACAAGGTGCACGGCAGCTTGGCTGCAGCGCCAAGGCATATCCGTGTGGAAACCGTGGCTGTGGTCGTCAAAACCGTAATGGGATCCTTTTTTTGGTTGGTAGGTAAATTCACCACCCATTTTAGAACCTATTTTTTGTGGGGATTGGGATGTTAACAGGGGGGTAACCGGGTTTTGACCCATGGCCACACGGTGAAAGGAAAAGTTGGGAGGAGAATGGGGAAACCAGAGCCAGATCTTCCCATTTCCACCTTGTGGTTCTCAAATGCCTCGGGTCGTCCGAAAAGTTGAGGCACTGAAGACTTGAAAGCTTCCCCAGAATTAGTTCCCCGTTTTGTTGTTTTGCTTTTTTGGGTGTCCCTTTGTTTTCCACCAACTAGGCAAATATAGATATATATATATATATATATACATATGTATATATATATATATATACATATGTATATATATATATATGTATATTTGCTGGGGTCCTATTTTTCCAGCCAAGAAAGAGAGAAGTTCCCAAAGGGTGGGCTTCATGGAATCGCCTGAGGGAGGGCCGCTGAAGTAGGTTGCACTCACTTCCAATTGCTTGAGAAAATTGTTTCGTTTTTGTCCCTGTTGGTTTGAAAGGAGATCTACCATTACTGGTTTAACATGGATATATTCTTTCCAGGGGGCGGATGAGCAAATGGAGGTATAGGAAAGCATGCAGCTTTGTTTGCCAGGCGGTTTCAAAGGGATCTTGCCAAGAGGCGAAAGCATTTTGTCCTTCTATGGTTGATTGTTGGACTTGTCCCCTGGGTTCCCAGGAGGCGAGAAAAAATGAAGAAGCAAATGGAGGCATAGCTTAAGAACATGTCTCAGACTTCCCCTGTTTTAAAGGGAATCTATCACTGACGAGGAACAACAACAAAAGGCAAATGGAGGCTCATGGTTATCTAGGTCCCCCCAGTACTGCCCTTTCACCCTTTTTTGGGGGAGGCTTCCCCTACTAAAATGACCACCGGAAAAAAATAGGGTACCAACTTATTCTAACCTCTCTACTGGAGGCTCATGGTTATGGACCTCACCTCAGTTGCCACCCCACTTCTGGTCAAAAACCACATGCTGAGGCAATGCCAGCTCCTCGGCGACTGGCTTTCGGGCCTTCGGGTTGTTGGGCCGTTGGGATATGGCGGGGATTTGCGTCGAGGGGTTTAGGGCTTCGGGCACATGAGTTCTGGCTTTCCTTTGGGTTTCACTCGGACGGGTGGACAAGGCACTCTCAGATTCCCACACCCACCTGAACGTTGATGCTTTGTGGCTGTATCGCTCGGCTTTTTTTTTGGGGGGGGTGCTTGCGGGGGGAGACCTGGCGGACAGGGTGCCGTGACAAGGACCCACTTTGTTCCCAATGGCACGTCGCAGGGATCTCGCTGAACTGGCCATGTTTGATCCCGGAGCTTTTGGTGGTAGAAGCGCACCCAAGGGTGTTTTTTGTTATGAACGATTTCTGCCGTGGTCACAACTTCCCCAGTTGCGCAGTGGCAGTGGTAACCTTATGTTTTTTGTTTTTTTGGGGAAGGGGTCCCCTAAAGTCAACCAACCAAAACATGGATGCCCTGTCTTTCCCATGGCGTCTGGGCATCATTGTCTGACATGGTCACAGCACCTGCTTGATTGGAGGGATCGTTATGCGCGTGGGACATGTGGACAACCATGAGGCTTCCCGCTAAGAAAATGACCCACCGAAGGAGTAGAAATTGGGAGCCTGCATCAACCTTGGTTTTAAACATCACCTTTGTCTCATAGGTGATTTTCTATTGAGTTTCCTTGGGGTGATGTTTGAAGGGGCATAAGTTGGCTTGGAACCCGTGACCCTTGTTCCACGTTATTCTCTTTTTACTCAGGGTTTCAGGAAGTTCATCGCCCTGATTTCACGCAGTTTCGTTCAGTCAAATCGGGCTCTGAATTTCCCAGAAGCTAGGGGACGCTCTACATGTCAACAGAGGGTCCTCCGCACATTTGAACCTGCATGTGGGTCCAGAATGTCCAGAGTCATATTAGTCACCATAGGTGTCCTTTTTGGTTGGTTTGGTTAAAAAATAGAGGGCCCCGGTTTACGTGGTGGTTCAATCATCTACCAGGGCCATCTCTTTTCCAAAAAGGACACCTATGTTAGTCGCCGTTTCCAAAGGTCTACCCTTTCTGTCAGGAGACATGGCAGGGGGGGAGGGAGCCCTATTTCAAACCTTATTCGGGGCCAACTCAGGGCCTGTGTGACCTCCCTCCCCCCCCCCTCTCCCAACCCCCAGCCAACTCCCCTCCCAACCCCAGCCCCTTTATGATGGGAGGAGAAGCAGCGTCTATGTCCATGCGGGTCCCCGATTTTCTTGGGGCGGCCGGGCGCCCAGGATACATCCGGGACCCTCATGAGCAGCGGAAGCACCGCATCACCATGAAGCAGGCGGCGGCGAGGCTCAAGGCAGAGGAAGAGGAAGAAGCTTGGCCTTGGGTCCGCTTGCAGGGCATGAGCCGAGTGCCTTGAGATTTCTCGTTCAAAATCCGCACGTCCAGCAGTTCTGTGCTGTCTTCCTGGCTGGTGCGATAGGCAGGGAATGAGGGAATGACCCTTATAAGCCACCTCACTGGTTTCCTTTAAGGGGACTGGGTTCATTCCCACATTTCCTGCGTATCGCACCAGCATGCATACACGCACATCCGTCCAGCCATCCATCCATCCGTCCTTCCATCCATTCATCCATCCATCCATCCATCCATCCATCCATCCATCCATCCATCCATCCATCCATCCATCCATCCATCCATCCATCCATCCATCTTCCTGCATTTCCCCTTTTAAGGGGTTCAATCCTCACCTTTTTCTGTTGGGCCCGTTTAACGTGAGTCCCCTTCAAAAGTGATGTTTAGTTCACTTGCCCAAAGCGACTCGACCGGAGCTGACCTTTTTGTTGCCCCCTCGGTGCATCACCTTCTTGGCCCTTTTTCGTTTCGGGGACTTTGCTTAACCAGAAAGAACCTTGGCGCATGTTGCCAAGGGATGTTAGGACTGAATGACTTTTTGCAAACTTTTAGGGGTTTTCCGTATCAAACCACTAAAATATATTCACTTTTAGCAGGGGAGCAGAGTTCGCAACCGAGAGAAGCTGATGTGTTGCAGTGAGGTCAAATCCAGGTCCAAAGAGTCCCGACATGGCGGGGCTCCAACAGGTCCGCCGGAGTTACTTAGCGGTGTTGCCGGCCGAGACGAGCAACAGCCATGAAGGTCCTTCACTTGAGATACTTACCTCTTAAAAACACAGCTTCAACTTTTGGGGTAACATGGGCGAAAAGTGTCTGTCAAAGATTAACTTCCCCAATCCTTGGAGTTTTAAGGGGTAAGGATATTAGGGTTGCCCGAAGCAAACAAGTATTCCCAGGGAGAAACACGGCTCACATAGTCATTTGAGCAAGGAAGTTTCGGACGCTGATCGGTGTCCTTTTGGGGCAGCTTCATGGTTGCTGAAATGGGTGTTTCACCTTGGCTATGCTGTGGTACCAAGGGTGTCATCTTGAAGTGACCTACATTCGGGTTGCCTGTTTGGGTATCACATACAAGCCGATTTTCCTCTGCCATGGGTCAGGTTGGTTGAACACACAAATGTCATTGTTTTCAGTTTTTGGCTCCCAGCCATCCGGTTCCTCGGCTTTTTTGCTTTTCAGGGTTTAGTGGGGGATTTCCATTTATATAACCCACTAAACGTTGAACTTTTAGCAGGGGATCTGAGGGCAGCCCAGTTTTGTTTCAATCGTTTCGCTGGTCTGGTCGGGGACCTCAACGGACCAAAGGAGGGACCTGAACCGCACCCAGGCCTGGCTCAGAAGAATCTGCTTTGCCTATATGGAGCTGCCCCCAGAAAGCCCGGTTTGCCCCGGTTCCATGATGCTCAGCGCAGTTTTTTTCGGGGGGAAGCTTTTCCTCGGGGTTCAGTTCAGTTGTTTTTTAAGGGTCCAGGTATCAAGCACCTTCCTAAGGAGGCGCTTGGAGACCCACTTTCAGCCGCTTCAGCCAAAGGCCATCCTCTAAGGGTACCGTTTGGGAGCCTCTGTGTCAGGAAACGGGCGGCAAGGAGCTGGGTGAGGAAAAGGGCGAGGAGAAGGGTGAGGAGAAGGGTGAGGAGAAGGGCGAAGGTGAAGGCGAGGGCGAGGGCGAGGCCGAGGAGGAAGAAGAGGACAGCGGGAAGAGTTTCCTGAAGCCCCTCCTGCAGTGCCCAAAGCCGACTCCTGTTGCAAATGTTCGGGTCTCTCCTTTTTTTTTTTTTAAAGGGAACGGTGTTTGATAGATATAAAGGAACACCAGAGAACAAACATGTTTAGGGCCTCCCTATTTTTGAGACACGCACTTTTGCAGGTGGCCCTATTGCCTGGTTTCATGGGGGGGGGGGGTGTGAACCAAGAGTCAATGGCTCAGCTGGAATGGCGATGGTCAACCCGAGGATCCGCCAGCCCACTGGTCAATTCACCTTTGTTGGTGGTTTGGAGCCGGATCGGTGGTTTGGTGCTGTTCTGGGGGGTGGTTTGCCACCCCATCTAGACCCTCCATAAGAACCAGGGGTTCAAATCCAAGCCACCAATCCAAACCACCAACCAAGGGGGTTGCCTGATATTTTGCAGCTGAACCGGATCACTCTTTTGAGGATCACCCCCTCATAATCCACCAGGTTGAATAAATCCGGAGGCATCACAGACTTCCAGCCAAGAAATATGGGGTCAAAGAACCTTCAAGGCTCTTGTCGGGACATGTTGCTAGTCTCTGGGTGCGCCTCGTTTGTTGTTTCTTTTTTTTCCCGGGTGAGCCCGCACATGTTTCATGACTTACCAGCACGAGTTCAACCAGGGCCCCACAGCCACCCGAGTCAAGGCCGCTGTCCAGCCCCGACGAAGGACACTCCAGGATTTGGCACCTTGGCTCCTTTCAAAAGCGAGCCAAACGGGGGAAACCTCTGTAAATTTGTTGGGATCATTGGCATACTTGGCATTTAAACATGTGGATGTGTCTTTTTTAGGGGGCCCATCCCCAACCCCCCTTCCCCCACAAAAAATAATAATAACAGAGAAATACAAATGGTTGGCTTCCCTGCACTCAAAAGAAAGTCCCCAAAAGGACAGAGCTAGTCCAACCCTGGAACCGAGCATGGCCATGTCCTTGCTCGCCCAAGCTCTTGCTGCTGTGCACCGCGCTTGCCAGACAGGGGGCTCTAGACACAACCTAGAAACATGACTTTCAGTGCCCACGTGTCATGGTTGTTGTTGGGAAACATTGTTCCATTTTTCTTATTGTGGCTTAGTGGTTGAAATGCCCACATAACTGCCAAAAAACAATGTTTGCTCCCCTTCCAACGTCAGCCAAGTGCTACGCTTGACGAGTCAAGAAATTCCACTTGCGATCTGTGCGAGAGATACGGGGAATGAGAAATGGGATGAGCCCAAGAAAAACCATGCAACTGGTGGTTTCCTCTCTTCGGGAATCCCTCCCTTCATTTCCTTTGAGCACCAGCAAGTTAAGATTCCAAAAGGTTACTGTAGCCGTTGATTTTAAGGGCCTTGCCCAATAATCCGAAATCTTCACCCGAGGTTTGATTTTTTCAGAAGGTCAAGCGCTCGCAGAGTGAGTTTTCTAGGCGTACCTTCCCCATTCTTTCCAGGGATCCTTCTTTCAAGAAAACCTCCTCCTGAAACCCGATCGGGAAAGCGTATCCGGTTTTTGGAAAGAACGATGGTTGAAAAGAATGGCACAGGAATCACTCTAGAAATAAGGTAGGCTCCATTTTTCGGCAGAGGCGTAGTTGATTTCCCCGGAGGCAGGTCTCAACATGCGACCGATACCCCTGTCCTAGAAGTTGTCCATTCAGGAGGAGGAGGAGCCCTGGGTCATGACCTTCTGGGACAAAGTTCTGCTCGAAGTCGGCTGGCGCCTTGGTCCTGACAAGCCCGGGGTTCGGCCTGCGTAGAGCGAATCCAGCGAATCGACCGGATCTGGACACCCACCCAAGGTGGGTTTCCCCGGCGCCTTGCACCCGACCAGTTGGGATCTCACTTGTCTTGTTTTGGGGGACCCCCTTGTTTTCCGTTGGTTTTTTCCCTTCGAAGCCATCAAAAGACACCTTTCAGATTGGTTTCCCTGGATCGGTCCAGTGTAGACTAGAGTGGTAAAGGTGATTGCTGTCTGCTTTCTGCACGTTCCGTTGCAACATGACGGATCGATTTCTGGTGGCTTTCCCACAAAGCAGCTCCAGAAGGGTACCAAAGCACAACAGGAATGAATCTGTCCCAGCTACATCCAACTACAAACAAGCTTTCACGTGCCTTCGGTAGTCGGCTTTCAGGGCTTCCAACATTTCCCTTTTCGGGTGGTTTAAACCTCACCTTTTGGGGTCGTTCAAAGTGAGTCCCATTCAGGTAGGGTGATGTTTAACTCACTCGCCCAATCGACGAGCCTTCCACCTTTCGGTTTCCCTGACTAGGTCCAAGTCAAGGTTCCGAAATGTGATCTCCTACTCCAGGTCAAGGGGGTGAGTTCCTTTGGTTGGAAACCATAAAGAACGCCGAGTGGTTTGCCGGCGGAAAAAACGGCTCGAAGACGCCGAGTTCGTTTTTTTCGCGTAGCGAGCGCCTTCTCGAGGCTCTTTGGGTTTGTGGCCCTGACAGTGGTGCTGGTGCTGGGAATGACGGTGATCTCCCAACTCCGCAGCTCTGGCAGCAGAACATTTTGGGAAACCTCTGAGGGAGTGGCTTTTTGTTTTTTCTCCCCCAGAATTTTGGGAAACCTCTGAGGGAGTGGCTTTTTTTTTCTCCCCCAGAATTTTGGGAAACCTCTTGAGGGAGTGGCTTTTTGTTTTTTTTTTCTCCCCCAGAATTTTGGGACACCTCTGAGGGAGTTGCTTTTTGTTTTTTTTCTCCCCGGGGAGGGGAGGGGTGAAAAACGTTTTCACCGCGGGAGTTCCTAGGGTTTTTCCAGGGTTCCTTAGGGAGTCCTGCATGGGTTCCCTAGGGTCTCACTCCCCGAGTTTACGGGCTTTCGTCACTTTGTGGGTTTGGTGACCATTTTAGTGGGAAACAAGCAGTTTGGGCAATTTGTTTGACTAGTCCTCTGAAAAAGTGAGTAGCGCCCCAGAGTAACGGAAGGAACCCCTAAAACAAAAATGGTTAAGAAGAAACTCCTGTTGGGAAATCCCCCCCCTTAAATTGGGGGGGGGGAGGGGGTACTGTGGATGGGTGAAATTCTGCACCACCTAAGAAACTACTGGAAACCATTGTTTGGTTGGTATTTACAAGGGAATCATATCATTCCAGGGTTTCTTAGGTGAGTATCACCTTTCCTTTGATGCATTTGTCTTTGTCTCCCACAAAGTGGGTGGTTTTCTGGGTTGAAAGCTTCAGTGGTCTCTTGAAACCCTTGGAAGCGTTTCCCTTAGCCTTTGAGAACAGGACGCACACTTACCCGATGAAGGGCAACTACCCTCTCAAAGACATGGAACCTGCATAGCTGCATAGCCTTGTAGCCTGGCTCTCCATCCCTTGCGGCTTCCTTTTTCAAATGACCTTATAAGGACATCACGCATGACTAGTAGTTTACTCATATGATCTTGGCGAGTTTTGGCCTTGAGCCCTCGCAACCTCGCAACTCTGTTCTAATTCATTCGGCATTTCTAGTAGGCCTTTGTTGCCCGGGATTTTGAGGGCGCCACTGAAGAACTGGCTTCACGAGCCCACACACCGGGCCCCAAGCGCGATTCCGGCGTCTGCAAGGCGCCTGAAAAACGAGGGGCGTAGACCAACCGTACGCCACTACAAAACCATGGCAGAGCGCTGTAAATTAATTCGGAACATCGGTGTTCCTCGCACTCTTACCAGCCGTCTGGGGGCATCAGTTGGTTTTCCCTTGGCTCTTCTAGAGGCGAGGACATCAATCGTAACCTCGAAACCACGAATCCAACCAAGAGGGACGCTGCAAGTTGACCCCCTTGTCCTTGGGGTAAATCGGGAACCCCTGGCCTCCACCATCTGTGGCTCCGCTTTGCAGCTGGCTCTTATGGCGAACTGGAAAACCAGACGCCGCGTTAAACCACCAAAAACCCCACCTGTCATTTCGAGGTCCTTGCTGGAAACAGCCTCCCCACATTATCCACATTTAAGGGGAAGCCATGGGTCGAAGGTTGAACCATAGATGTTTGTCAGTCTGAGGTGACTTGCGTGAGTTGACACATTGCCAATCCGTACCCCGCAGGCGACGTCTCGCAGGACGTCTACGATGGTCTGGTGGAGCCTTCAGGGGTCGCGAAAGGCGCCTACTGGTTCCACGTCCACGTCATGGACCCTAAGCGATGCATTCGGCTCACATGATTTGGGCATGTCTTCTTGGGGATGGTTTAAAGGAGAACCAGAAAGGAAAGCGAAGCCATTTTAGGGGTGTCCGTCGGAAGGACACCCATTTCTCACTTGCCCAAAGCGAATCGGCCGCATCTAGCCTTTTGGTTTTTCCAAGTTGGGTTGCCATCTTTAGTAATGGCCCGCAAGGTGATTACCTTTCGTTTCCAGCTCCTTTGGGCAAGGGAGAAACGGAGGCGGATCCGCCGAAAGTGGGAACGTGTTTGGTCTTCCTTTTGGCCGTCTCAACAGCCCCCCGCCAACTGACATGCGGGGTCTTTCCAAGAGGACAGGAGGACAGTAGCATAGGTGTCCCTTTTAGGTTAGTGTGGTCCAAAATGGAAGGCACTGGATTAGACGATGGGTTTTATTCCATTTTCCAGGGCCATCTATTTTCCAAAAGGACATCTATGGACAGTATAAACAATTCAGCTGGGCGGTCGGGACCGCAAAGGCCCTGTTTGGCCGTTTCCGTGTGCCCGCGGAAAGCGGGTTTACGGGTTTACGGGTTTACGGGCGTGGTCGAAGAAATTATTTGCCGTGTGAAGCCCGCATTGAACCATGCCCATGGCCAAGTTTTGACCATAGAAGCTCGTCTACCAGCCTGGTTTCATGTTGCCTGAAGTGTGAAAATGAGCCCTGGGAAGGACACTTGAAGGCCACATGAAGGTAGCAGTCCCAAGCCTCAAGTCATATCGTCTTTTTTGGGGTTGGTACCCCTTTTCGCTTGGTTTTAAAAGGAAACCACCATGAAACCAACCGTTTTGGGGCGCCTAGGAAAAGAACCAACCCCTCCTCATTTTTGATCAAGGCCCGAAGCTGATAGGTTCACACAGGTTCTGCCCAGCGGTTAAGGGTTAAGCTTAGCCTCCCACTGCTACTGTGGGACGAAATCCGTTTCGCACCACCTAAGAAACCAGGGTTGAAATGGGCCTAACTGGGGGCAACCCCCCCTAGGGTTCCGTAGCAGTTCCTTAGGGGGGATTCCATCAGATTCGGGCCCAGGACCCGGTGGTGGTCCTCTGCGGCCTCGCCAACTTCGTGGTCTTCGCCGCGGCCACGGAGTTGGAGTTGGACCCGCAGGCCCTTCGCCCCCGCCCTCGCCTTCGCCTGGAAACGCGGAAACAACGCGGCCGAAGCCATGGGCACCCAGAAAGTCCGGGCTTTGATCTCTGTGACTATTCCAGGTTGCATTGTCAGGTATGGGTTTTGGGGCCGGATGCTTGTAAAGCAACTTATTTCAGTCTGCGTAACGCAGTAGATACACTTCCTTTTACCAACATGGAAGCTCCCAGAAAGCCTCTGCAAACGGAGCCCAGTCCTCCAAAGGGCTCCCTAGGAGCTTCCATGGAATCGCCTGGGGGAGGGTAGCCCTTACTTGAGTTCCATATAGCCTCCATGCCTGGAACAAACCACCTGAATCGCCAGTTGTTGTTGTCTTGTTGGTTGTTGCTTTTTTTCCATGCACTTCACCCGCAAAACCTGCAACAGTGACTGAAAAAAGCGATCGCAACTTGGCTATCTAGGCATACCTTAAACTGCCCCCTTGGGAGTCGTGGCTCGTGTGAGGCAACTACCGGCTTCGGCTTCCGCCGGAAGCTGGTGACATGGGTGCCCCGCGCCAACGCCGCTGGGCCAAAGAAATGGCCCGCTCGATTTGGGGCGGGCGGGCTTGAGGGCCTTATGTTAGCCCCGGAGGAAGCACAACCCCTGGTTGATTAATGGGTGGGTGTCCCCTTTGGGGATTCATCACTTTTGGAGTGGGACAAGTTTAGTTTATTAAAAACATCATGACTAAGAGGTTGCCCCTATCTGACTTATGTGGTTTTAACCTTGGCTGCTATTGGTTTGGATTATTAGACTTTAACTGTTTGCGAAATCGAGGGTTTTCCGCTAAACCCGCAAACAGTTAGACTTTTTGCAGAGGGTTCGACGGCAACCGAGTAACGTACCCTAGAACCCCCGATGTTCTTGTTTAGGCACCTGTGCTAGCAGTGAAAGGGTCAATCGGATGTAGGTATTTTCACTTGCTCGGCATTCACAGGGGACAGTCCCCTTACTATAGATCAACGCGGATGTTCGCCTGTTTAAGTCTTTGCATGGTTTAGGGTAGGCTTGAGTGCCAGGATTGAACTATGACTCAGGTCGGTCTGAGCCTTTTGAATGCACCCCACGACCAGTGACCAATTCTTCTCTGAGTTCCAAGCTCTCAGAGAGGAGTCGGCAGCTGGGAAGCCCTTTTTGCCACGAGCCCAGGTGCGAAGCCCAGGTGCTCGGTTGATTCCAGCCTCAAAGCCCCTCTTTTGGTTTGTGTCTCGCTCCCTGAGTGCCGGGACTGGGCACTTTTTTGGGAAGACCAGGTGGAGTGCTACGCCAAACGCTTGGAAGATGTTTGGTTTTCCAGTCCGCTCAGGAAGGGAGGAGTGGGCAAACCCGTGAGCGGTTGGGGGGGGGGTTTAACGGAAAGAGAGAGCGGAAAAGTTCATGGACGAGGGAAGCCTACGGAACTTAACGTTTCATGGCTACAAAATTGCCTTAGTATGGCTTACTCAGCCAAAGTAAGCCTCAGCAAGGCTTACCAAGGCGTTTTGCCGGGGAATAACGTTCTTAAGATGACCGCTGTATGGTCTTATTCAGGTGTAAGCAAGTCATTTCTTTGCTGGTGCTCAGCCGGGAATGAGGGAATGAGCCCCATAAACCATGCCTTGTGGTTTCCTTTTTGGGAATCACTAGGTTCATTCCCACTAACCCCCTACTGAGCACATTCCCTACTGAGCACCACCTAGATGGCCAAGTTGCTGTTTTTTTCAGTCGCTGTTGCTGGTTTTTGGGGTAACGTGCATGGAAAAAAGCGATCGCCACTGGCGATCCAGGCAGCAAGACGTGTTCCAGATTTCTACTGAGGGGTCTCGCTGTCCGGGTCAGCCGGTCAAGCGCCAGGCCAGACTGCAGGCGATCGGCGCCGTGACGCTGATCCTGAGCTTGCCGCTCATCTGAGCTCGTGGAGTGATGCCGCCGCCATTGGAAGTACTGGTTGCGAAATCCGTACGCGCCACCTAAGGATCATGGGACACCATGGTTTGCTGGGAAAAACCGGGGGGAATCAGACCATTCCAGGGTCCACGGTATGGACATTTCAAAGATCACTCAACACGGAGCATAATCAAACATGCTATTCTCTTTGTTGCGCAAGTAATCGTGGGGAGGGCCCACTGCATCATGGAACGGATGATTGTTGTCCTTGATGAGTCCCGCTTTTGCTCCTTTTCGTTGGGTTGGTATGAGGGACTGCTGGCCGAGCAGGATGTTTCAAGGGAACAAGGGAGACCGCACCGCTTCTAGGATTCCTTCATACATAAAAACCCGCCCCGGGATTTGGCAAGATCGAAGCCTTGGGCAGATCTTGCTGACTTCTCTCAGATCTTGGCGCGGTAGTTTCGCTGTCCAAGTCCCAACATGTTTATTCATTACTGGTACTTTGGATGGACAAAATCCGTTTCGCACCACCCAAGAAACCATGGCAAACCACTGTTTGTTGGTATTTACGTACTGCCCGGGTGAAACTGGAGCTCCAGTGTCACTTTGTCTTTGGAAGGCATTCTCTAAAGTCAAGCAGCCCAAACAATACATAGTGGGCCGGTTTTCCAGGATTTTGGATATTATTATTTTGTGTGTGTGTGTGCGCGCGTGCGTGGGCTTTCCAATGTTCCACGTTGTTTCTTGTTGTTGTTGTTTTTTTTTTTTTTTTTTGTTGGGGGGTGTTTAATTCTTCCATACCTGTCTGACGTTCTTTTTCAATAAAGTCATGTTCAATTTTGTGGGGGGGGCGTCCAATTCTTCCGTGCTTGTTCTCAAAGTCACCTGTGCGGTCAAAGTCCCGCTTTCCCTCGAGGCTGGTGCGGATCTTCTCCGCCCCGGCGCACCCCTGGTGGAAGCAGTACCGCCCGGGAGCCCGGATGCGATTGCGCTTAGGCGCTGGGAGGCGCTGGGAGGCGGTTTCTGGGTTTTGGGAGGGCTCCCTAGATGGCCTCTATGGCGATCTTTTGTTGTCCTCCCAAAACCCACATAAGGAGCCTATATAAGGGCAGAGGTTCCGATTCCTTTAGACTCACAGAAAAACAGGGTGCCGATCTTTTGTTGTTTTTCCCACGGAAAGAGGACAGGAGCTCAACTGCGAGAAGCGACTCGCACCCTTTTTCCTTCTTCCGGGCCTTTTTTTTTTTGGGTGGCCGCTCCACTAAAAATCCGGCCTTCCCTAAAAAGGGTTCCCCTTTTCACAGGTTCACTGAACAACTGAGCATATGGCCTATATGGCGGTGGGGCAAAACCCTACCTCCCTACCCCTGAGATTCCCTTTCAGACTGAACCAAGGAAAAGGAAAGGTTACCCAAAAACGGGCATCTGGGTTTTGACCCACACCCATATTTCCCTTTCGGACGTTTGAAAAAAAGCTGGTGCGAGAAATGCAGGGAATGAGAAATGGAATGACCCCGAAAAGAACCATCCAACCAATGGTTTCCTGTAATGGAATCCTCAGGTTCATTCCCTCATCCCCTACAGAGCACAGGCAAGCAAAGACGATGATTCACAAAGACCGAAGTGCGGCGCGCGCGTGGGTGACGGAGGCTACCTTCACACGAGGGTAGTCTCAAAAGGACCGTGCTGGTTTTAAACATCCCATGTTTAGAGTGGGGGTTTCATCAAGGCTCACCTTTGAACGCTTCCATCAGGAGTAGTGATGCAGTACACTCCCTCGAACAGCCGGAAGCTCTCAGAGGGCGGATCCTGTAAATGGAACCAAGTCTAGGTCCCCCAGTAGTGCCCTTTTACCGTTTCTTTTTTGGTTGGGAGGCTTCCCCTACTAAAATAGACTACAGAAAAAAGTTGGTACCAACTTCTTCTAGCCTCTCTACTGGAGGACCTAGAAGTCTTAAGGGCTCCCTTTGGGAGCTTCCATGGAATCGCCTGGGGTAGATCTAGACGCTTCTCTCGCCTTTGGTGCTGCAAGGAGCTGGGCATAGCCAGCCATATGAATCACCCCCAGTTTGTTTATTTATTTCTTGGGGGGTGGGGGCGCCTCCAAAAGTGATTCCCAACTAGAACCAGCCCCCTATGAAATTGCAGGGGCTGGTTAATATGGGGTCAACCTCAAGTAACTCATCAGTTTTTGCATCCCCAAGCAACCATGATGAAACCACGCTCAAGCCGCATGCTGCCTTGCGCGAGCCAGGCAACGCAGCGCCTATTGTGGGGGTGTTCCTCAACTTGTACGCCTGGGTCGACGTGGTCGCAGTGACGCCCTCCTTGATGGACATCATCTTCAAGACGGACGCGCTTCCCGGCCCAAAAACAGCGAGCTGAGGAAGTAGTCGCGATCTTATTGTGTGTGTTTTCCCGTTAAAAAGCAACTAGGAAAACAATCAAAAACAATAAATAAATTGATTAAATCAATATATAAATACAAACGCAAAGTAGCCATCGTTACTCCGAACCCCGCAAGGACAAAACCACGTGAACAGGTAGAACAGGTATCTTTCGACAGAGTTGCTCCAATCGAACCTCACCCTTGTGACAATTGGAGAAACCCGTTTGACTGTGAGGGACTCGAGCGATTTCGTGCAACCTCAGAGGTACAGGTGCAAAAACCAAAGGACAAACGCATCCACGTGAATGTGTGTGTGTGTGCTGAGCAATTCCGCCGAATCGGGCGAACGGGGGATACCTAGCTTGTTTCGGTCAGAGCCGGCGCGGTTTTGTCCGCAGTGAGTTTCCATTGGGGTCATGTTTAATTAGGAACCTCAAAGCCCGACAGTCTCGCTGATGCCCCCCCGACCCAACCACCCAACTTCCCGAGAGAGAAGTGGGGGTTGGGCGTGTGGTATAGCAACATCTTCCATTTTGCATCCCCTAGATGTGGATTACATACTCCTAACAATCATAGAAGCTAACTGGAGGGTTTTGTGGAAGGCCTTTGTCCACTTCCATGTTAGTAATGTGAACATGCTGAGGCATGTACCCTCATGTATATAATAATGTTGACCACGGATCTATGACGAATCCGTCCCATTATTAGTTTGATGCTCCCGCCAAGGTTGTTTGAATCCCCACTAAAAGTCACACCCCGCGATCAAAATCAACCAGGACGGCTGACAAAAGACGCCAGGAGGGGCGGGATTTTTGTCCCTGGCGCGAGGTATTACAACATCCAGTCCTTGTGCCTCATCCGTCTGGTGGAGATGGCGGTCCGGTCCCCGTCCTCCACCGGCGCGGGGATCAAGGCCTTCATCGACGTCTTCGACGAGGCGCCGGCGGTTACGGTTGCGTCTTTTAAAGGCGTCGAGAGTCGGAGCGTTTCTCGAAGAAGCGGAAGACATGGGAAGATCTCCTGATTCTTTAGGGGTTTAGAGTTTAGGGTTTAGCTTCCATTTGCTTATTTTTGTTTATTTTCCCCTGTTGGTTGGAAGGAGAATCTATCACTACTGGAAATAGTGTTCGTTTTTTCCAGGGGTCTGAACCAAAAAGGAGTTAGGGTTTCGGGTTTAGGGCCACAGAAGGAGAGTCGTAGAATGCCGAACCTGCCAGACGGGTTGCCCAGCCGGGTTGCGGGAGTTGCCCGCTTTTGTGATGCCAATGCAAGGCCTTCCCAAGGACCCAGTCTCCAAATAAAGGGGGGGAAACCTGGGAAAGCCTGGGAACCTTTCCCACGGCTTTGCCCTTTGCCTTGCGCGGAGGTGATGGCATGTTCAGGTCCATTCCCTTTGGCAAGTGAGCAGTCCACCAGCCAAGTTGCCAAGAAACTAGGGCTTCATGTTTCAATGTTTGAGGGCACCTTGTTCCGTGCTGAGTGTTTTTCACAGATCACCCGAAGGAGCAATTCTTGGGGTTGCCAGGCCTTCCATGAGGTCCGTCAAGGGATCGGATGCCGTTGAAGGGTGTCCTTGTGGCATGTTTTTGCCTTCCCCTTGTTTGGTACAGGCATATCCTTCCCAAGGCCGCGCTGAAGATGAACCCTTTCCAGTTGCTGCGAAAACTGGGGGTGACCTCATGGCCAAAACCAATGGATTTGCTTCGACCTAGTAAAACTTCTGTTTGAAGCCATACGATCGCCTGGCTAGTCCAAAAGCATCAAATAGGGCCGTTTTCACGGCCCCTTCGGCGCTCGGGTCTACAAATCATGTCGTTTGCATCACTTGGCCGGTTGGTGAGGCGCACCTTTTGGGCGACTTGTTTGCGTATTCCTGGGGTGAGGCAAGGGGGACATACTGTGGATGGACGAAGTCCATTTCGCACCACCTAAGAAACCCTGGAATGGTCTGATTCTCCTGCAAATACCAACAAACCATGGTTTCCCATGGTTTCTTAGGTGGTGCGAAGCGGATTTCGTCCATCCACAGTAGGACCCTTGCAGTTTTTTTGAGGACGGAGCGCTGATTAGTACCATCTTCGCGCTGGCGCTGGTGGTGTGGGTCATGTTCTCGGGGCTCTACATGGTGGCCAACCGCGCCTGGCTCAGGACATCTAAGCGACGTCAGCAGTGCCCAAAACAATTTTAGTAGGCTGTTCTAGTGCCTGGCATTACGAAGACCACATTCGGGCCTATGTGCAGCTTTGTTACCATCTTGATGGAAACCCAAAGTCAACATGTTTTTTTGGGCGCTGATTGCATGTTTGAGCAGGTTCTGATAGGGCTTGTCTTCAATTGGGACCGTTCAATTGGGTGTGTGACGTTCTCGGACCCTTGAGCCAAATGGGGTACCCCTTACTTTGACTCATACCTTCCTGGCCCTGAAGAACTTGTTGGTTCTCAGCAGGGAATGAAGGAATGACCCCTTTAGTTCATCTCCTATGGTTCCTTTTGAGTAAGGGAATCCCCTGTCGGTTCATTCGCAAAACAGCAAGAAAAAGAAACGTATCCAGTTGTTCAGCGTCACCATTATTCCCTTTCTCTTTGGTGGCTTTCCCACTGAACGTGGACACCCACATATGTTTGGTTGTCCAAATTGGGGCCTTGGTTTTGCACTTCCTGCTGGAAGTGACGAAATCCATTTCGCACCACCTAAGAAACCCGGCTGTAAATGCCAACGATTTCGTCCATCCAGGAATCCACTGGCCATGGCGTTTCTCGGGTTTCCCCGGTGTCGGTTTCCTCGATACACCTTCCCATGTTTTGAGGCACCAACCCGGCGAGTGTCTGGGAAGCCGCGGAGTACGGGGGCGAAAGCTGGCAGCGCTTCGAGTCTCTGCCCTCCTCCATGCGCCTTCGCCCGAAAGGATTCGGGTTGATCGGCGGTCATTATTTTGACTGATTCCTTACCTCTTAAAAACACAACTTTTCAGCTTTTTGGGTAACATGGGCTATATGTCTGTAAAAGATTAACTTCCCCAGGGCTTGGAGTTTTAAGGGGCAAGTATTTTGACTGATGCTGGCTCTGGCGGTGAGAAAACGTCAGAAAACGGGGGTGTTTCCCTTTAACCCACCACTTGGGTGTCTTTGATCGTGGTAGAATAGTGAGGCCAGTTGATTTCCTGTCAATGGATCGGAGTCGACCGGATTCGGTTGCCCCTGGGGCTTTTCAATTATTTTTGGTGGTAACTGAACCCCAGGGAATAGCCACACGCCAGGTCCCAAATGCTTTGGAACAACCCATTCTTCAGAGATCCTTCTGACTTCAAGGCCAAGCACTGGGATGTGCGGCTTCTTTACGTGAACAATGGGTGACAATGGGAAGCTCAGTTGCCCTCAAGGGGGGTATATAGCCACCATCATGTATCTTAGGATGTTCATCATCATTGGGTTCTTGCCATTCAAGGAACTGTATGGCATATCCTTTTAACTTTCTTAGGCGGTGACACCTTTTAGCTTCCACCAAGAAGGCGTGCCAGTTCTTCTTTTCTTTTCCCATGGCCACTGATCTTTTCCCATACCCCCGACCAAAGCAAAGGATTTGCGAATGTTCACTTCGGCAAACTCTGCATTCACTCACTCCATAGTTGTTGTTGGGAAACATGATGCATTTGTGCTTATTGTGGTTTAGTGGAAAATCCCCACTTAACTGCTAAAAAATATATTTTGCTGCCCTTCCAACGTCAACCAAGAGACTCCTTCCATTCACTTATTCCAGAGCAGATCAGCAGTTTGACCTTTCGCTTTGGATCTTGAATCAGCCAAAGAGGTTGTCACATTGGGAAAGCTGACTTGAATATGTTGGTCCCTGGTTTATTTTTGGTTTCTTCTGCGTTTGGTTATTTGTTTTTTCTCTCTCTTTTTGTTTTCCGAGTTTACTTTTGCGCTTATTCCTCCGCGTCCATTTGGGTTTCTTCCGGCCAGCGCGACATTTCGTGTGGTTTTCTTTGGGACATCCGTTCCAAACGTTGGTGGCAACGATCTCACCTTTTGCGACGGCTCGGACCTAGGATGTGAACACCTTGAGGGATCTCAAAGTTTCTTTGGGGATGGTGTCCCTTTTATCCACCATTCGCCCGTTCATTAAAGCTTTTTCTGAGGATGACAATGATGACACTTCAACGGATCCAGATTGTTTTGCCGGGGGGGATGCTCAACCAACAACATGTGCCTCCAGCTTTTTGCTTAGTGCTCCCTTTGCTCGGCGAAGGTCGTGCGTTTAGATTGGCCAAAGGCATCTCTCTTTTTTAGGCGATACTGCGGATGGTTGCTCAATCTATTTCGCACCACCTAAGGAACCCTGGAATGATATGACCCAACAAACAATGTTTTCGCGTGGTTTTTAAGGTAGTGCGAACGGATTTTGTCCATCCACGATATGGGTCATGTGGACAGGAGTCCTATGGTATCACGAGGGGGCCATTCATTTCCCACACCCATTTCATAGGTGCTCTTTTGGGTTGATTTGGTTAAGAAAATAGGCGGCACTAGTGTTCCTGTTGGTCTAATCATGTACCAAGGGCCAACTATTGCCCAGCAAGGACACCTACTCCACTAATCCATATATTTGCCAACACTCCCCGGTTCAATGGATGTGTTGGGGCCCGAGGTGTTCTTCATTTTTGTCGGTTTTCGGGGCAGCCTTTTGGGGGCAACGAGGGTGTGGAAGCTTTGGTCTTGGAAGCTTTTGGTTTTCGCTGGCGCTGAGGTTCTTCACGCTCCTGAACCTTTGCAAGGAGCCAGCCGGTGCGGCTGGAAAAGAAACGCCCGGTCCGCGGCGTCCTTTTTGCTTCTGCCAGGCCGAAGGCCCAAAAGCCCAGGCATCCGGGTCCTTAGGCTCTTAGGCTCTTAGCTTTTTGGTCTATGGAACGCTTCGCTGTTGCCTGGCTGCCCCCCTTAGCAGGGTTGATGTTCACAGCAACCTAGCTTTTTGGTTGGTTTAATGGTAGCGTCCACCAAACCACTAAAGAGTTAGACGTTTTTTTAGGGGGATCTGAGGACAGGTCAAGGTAGGTGTAATCGCGGCAAGTGGAACTGGGGTAAGTTAGAACCCTTGCAACCTTGTTTTTTAGCCCCGTCACTAACTACACGCCCAAGTTGGTGGATTCAAACATCAAGGTGGAATTTGCTGTCTTTAGTGTGGTCTCTGTTGTTTTGTCTGTTCGTTCTATTTTGGGGGCCGGGTTTAAAGACGTGTCAAACATTGCCTTGTGTGCAAGTTTAATCTTGCTCACCGGTTGTGAGAGTGATGTTTAACAAGGATGCGCCCAGCAATTCTGCCTATGTCATAGCGAGCCCACCTGGAAGCAAAATGAGCTCACTTTGATGTAGGTCCTTTACTTGAGGATCCCTGTGGTTCAGCTCATTGGTGAAAAATGTAAACCCACCGCACCTACGATTTTCCTCATGTGCCGCAGTGCATGTATGGTACTCGTTTGAGTTCTTCGACACGCCCAACAAACAGAGACTTTGTGTCGAGATTTTGCCTTTGGTGCGAGTTAAGGACTGAGGGTACTAGCCCTAGAATCGCAATTGCTTTGCCGCTTTGGATCTTTAGACTTTTGCTTTTTGCGAAATCTTCTGGGTTTTCCATTGGGCCCACAAAACGTTATTCACTTCTTCCTTCCAGCAACCAAGAATCCGGGTACAGATTGCAAAACCTACACTGCCCCCACCCCATCCAAAACCACCCAAAGCCGCCAAACCCCCCACCCAAGTCCACCCAACCCCCCAAACCCAAGCCATTGTTAGGAGCACCCGTTGGCCGATGCCTTTGGAGATGATTGGACCAACTGGGGCTTGGCGCGTCTCGGCGAAATTGACGCAAAATGTTCACGTTTGAAATGCAGAAGCAACAGATAATTCATGTGCATATCATGTATACATACATGATGTATATGTACCTACATTTACTTATACATATACATGTGTATATGATTCACATATATACACATGTGTCTGTATATGACGTGTGTATATATATATACGTGTATATATATATATATACATATATATATATATATACATATATATATATTTATATTGGTGCTCTCTACATGTATATAAAGGTTCCGTTGAAGTATCCAGTAGTGTATTTAGGAGAGACAGACTGACTTTTTCAATTACCCACAAATCCTTGGGGCTTTCTAATTGTTCATGTCCAGTAGGGTAATAGTAAATATTGACTCAGGCTCAAGCAGACCCACTTTGTCTAGACTTGTTTGGGCCAATCCACTCAGGAAGTGAAGCACCTCAAACAAGTGTTTTCCCTTGGCTGCCCTCAAGCCAAGATAAGCGAGGGGTTCCCTCCAAAACGCGCATTCGTTGCGCGTGGTTCGAGAAACACCGCAGACCCCCGCCCCCCCGCCAAGGAACGGACGTGCATATTCAATCACAACTTTGCTTAAATAATCACGCACACCTTTCGCTGACTTGCCCAAAGCAAATCGGCCTTTCGAGCTTTTGATCCTGCATCTGTGGCCTATGTTCAATCAAGGCAGTGCAAGCGTTGATCTTGAAATTCTCGTTTTTGCAAGGTCAGATGTTGCAGTTTCGTGTTGTTAGTTTGAAAGGTTTTTGTTTTTCCTTACCCCTTTGTCCAACAGTCCTGGAAGTGGGCAAGGGGCTTCTCCAAAAAGCAAAATTGCCCTCCTGACAGCTTCCATAATTGTTGGATGGAGGGTGGACTGTGCAATGTCTAGGTGGGACATATGTCTTCATGAATGCTTTTTAGATGGTGTAGATTCAGTTGCTATTGTGGTTAACCTTGTTGCTTGTTCCCAGTTACCTCTTCATAGATACCCAGGGGCAAAAACCACGGGTTAAGGCTGACCCCGGATTCAGACTCGCGTTAGGGCGGTTCCCTGCAGTACAGAGTTCCCACGAAACGGGGAGACTTGCTATAAATCAACCAGCGGTTCGAAAAAAATCCCGGGTGTCCATTCCAGTACCTATTCTTTGTTGCCCAGTGGTGCCCGTTGTTCTCTTTTTCTTTTTTGGGAAGGGTTCCCATTTTTTTTAATCAACCAACCTAAAAAAGGGGTGCCAGTTCTTTTTTCCCATGGAAATCCACTGGGCATCTGAGTAGGGGAAACATCCACTGGGCGGTTGCAGCCTTGAGACACATGGCCGGCTCAGGGTCTTCCAGCGGGTGATCATCATCGTCGTGCCTCGGAATGTCCTCTGGAGATCTCCATGCATGGCACCCCATTTTCTCTTTTATGGGGACAGCTGGATGAAAACAAAATGAGATCCGGACCCGTCGAGACGCAGTATCTCTACGGAATGCTAATGTTGGCATCACGGTGTTCTTCAACTAGGTCCCCCAGTAGTGCCCTTTTACCGTTTCTTTTTTTGGGGGAGGGTTCCCCTACTAAAATAGACTGCAGAAAACAAATCGGGTACCAACTTCTTCTATCCTCTCTACCGGAGGACCTAGACCAGTACCTAGCCGGTTGGAAGGGACCCGGACTCGGAGCCGAATTTGGAGCCAGCAGGAGGTCTGTTTAGGGACGTGGTAGCTGGCCCAACCCCATCTTTTTCAGGGTAAAAGGTGAGCCCTATGAAAGTCGAAAACCACGGAAGCCTGGTTTTAGGCGTAGACCCTGTTCTTCACACAGACCGGTATTAAGGGGCACATGTCCATTTGGGAAACATTCTAAGGGACCCCAAACAAACGCGGAGAACTGGACCTTGGCGGGATGTACGGCTATCTCTCGAGGTGTCCAGGCCAACCGTAGGGTCATGCTCGCAAGGTTTCGGGCCGAATCTCGTTTCATTGCCCCAGCGCCCGCACCCGGAAGGCAGGTGTTGCAGTCAGGTTTTTCTAGGGGACACTTCTGTTTGAGGTACCCTTTTTAGGTCGGTGTAAAGGGGCACAAAAAGGAAACGCCTTTTGGAGGAGCCGCCCTTATCTACCCTGTGGGTTTATGCCCTCTTCTAGGGGACACTTCCAAGGATCCGAATCTTTTCAGAAAACCAGCCGAATCCAAGAGGAAACAGCGATCGGTGTTTGAAAAAATCGATGGTTGAAAAGAATGGGGAATCCGCCCGAGAGTTTTTTGGCCAAGCTTTTTTCCGTGTGCAAAAGGAACAGAATGCCAGCCACCCAGACACTCCCAGAAATGCCTGAGAACTCACCCCCAGTTCCCGGAGAGTTCAAAGGCCTCAGTTTGCAAAGCGAAACAAACATATTAGGGTCTCCTTTCCTTGGCGCTGAGGTGTGTATTGTTGGTGTCCCTGTCTTCGGTGCGCCTTGGACAGAACCGCCGTCTCGTCTGAGACTGCTTTGTTGGTAAATTTCGAACTGTTGTGGGAAGATGCCTTTGTCATTTTGCAGGGTTGCTTCAAGCTGCAAACAGTGAAGAGCTCAAAGGTGCATCCACTTGAGTCACACGCCCTGCTAATTCTTTACCATCCAGGACCCCAGCTAGGTGCCCTTTCTCTCCCCTCTTTTGGGGGAGGGTTCCCCTACTAAAACAGACTGCAGAAAAAAATGCAACTCTCGGGTACCAGCTCATTCTAAGCTCAAAGTACTGGAGGACCCAGCGCCATGGTTCTGGGTCCATTTGGATATCGCCATGGTGTCTTTGATGGCTTACTTGGGGTCCTCGGGCCAGCCAGGGCCCTCCGAGCAACCCAGCTAAAGAACTTTGGCAGGTCATGTGACCCCAGGTGCCACCAGTGGATTCACCGCCCCTTTCTTTTTTTCATCTTCTTTTTTTCCGACGTTTTTTTTTGGGGGTCAGGCGGTGTCCCTTTAAACTCAACCAACAAAAGAGAGAGATGTCGATGCCTTTTTGTTTCCCTGAAGATCCGCTGGGCAGAGTGTGAGCCGGGCTGATGAATTGATGGTAAGCCAGACCTCTTTTTCTGACCTCTGTGGCCTTGTGGCTCCCGCCAACCACTAACTTCCTGAGTTCATGATCTTTAAACTTTTTGGGAAGACCATTTTAGTGGTAAGTAAACAGTTTGGACTTTTTTTGGGCCATCCACTCAGCAAGTGAGACCAACAAAATGAAGGGAATCAACGATTGGTGGACACGCGGCTCTAAGACTCCGAGCGTTGGGTTGGAAGTTCGGCCGAGCGGAAAGCACTGCTTTGACTGTTCGACAAGCATCCGACCCAACCGCCCGCCCGCGCCACCAGACTCACCACACAGTGACACCCACGCACGGCACTTTGGATCCGGAAGCTCGTGCAGATCCTGGAGACTGCCGGATTTCGCTGTGAGGTTAGGTCCCACTCTTGAACCTGGGCAATCACCCCACTGAAGGTTATAGCCCAGGGTTACAAAAGGGGGTGCAAAGGGAGCAGTAGCCTTCCCACCGTGAAATCACTGGCCTGACGTGGGCGTCCGGGATGTCCAAGATGCGTTCGTCGGAGGGCCCCTGCTCAGCACTCAGTTTGCTGGCTTTACCACAACAAACGGACGCATAGATGTCCTTTTTGGTTGATTTAGTGTAAATTGGAGGGTCCTGGTTTACCTGGTGGTTCTATGAACTACCGGGGCCATCTATTTTCCCAAAAAGGACACCTCTGACGGGTCTTGAGAGTATCCTTTTGGGGGTTCCAATGTGAAACCTAAGGGAAACTACCGGTTGGGGTACCCTATCACACATACCCAAATGACCAACCCCGGGTCCCTCAGGACTTCAAGCTGTTTGGGAACACTATCTTATGGTGATTTTGGCCAATTCACTCAAGAGACCTTTCATGTTTTTTTTTTCAGGGTATTGTAGGCAAGTGTGAGGCAATGCATGACGTTGACCCGGGATCTAAGTAGAACCCGCGGTGAAGCTCCACTGTCCAGTCTCTTGCTTGCGTTTCTTGCGGCTTCTCCGGCGGCTTTGTTTTTCGCCTGAGGTGCCCACTGGAATTCTGGGCGCCAGCCTGATGAAGCATTGCAAGAAGCAGGTGGAGCAGATGAAGCAGGCGCCGGAAATATGAGGGGCGTGCCCGAGGAAACAGCCCATTTCATGGAACCCCTGGTTCTCTTCCGTTTGCTTAAGAATATTTGTTTTTTTTCCCCTGTTGGTCTCAAAGGGCATTTATCACTACTGGAACTATGCTTCTTTTTGTTTCGGGGTCGCCACCAAATGGAAGTGTGCCCAAGGAAAGGCCAGAATTTCACGTAACCCCTGGTTCCTGTTGAGGGAGAATGGGAAGCTACCTGACGTTAACACCTGGTTCTTGTTGACGGTTGGACAATTTTCCTTGTAAAGTTGTAAAGGGACCGGGTCCCCTGTCAGGTTCCATGTTAATTGGTGGGAGAACAGCCTCTTTTTGTTGGAGCCAAGCATGTTTACGGTCTTTCCCGCCTTTGGGAAAGCAGGTAGGCAACTCACGACCTTTTTTTGGGGGAGCCATTTTGGGAGACCGCCGGTCTTTTTCCTGTTTTTGAGGGTCTGGAGTTGGATAAAAGGTGCCAAAAGAAAGAGGAGAAGGTCCAGGTGCCCTTTTTTCAGGCAACCCCACACGTAGGGGTCCTCCTGAAAGTTTTGAAAGACACGCCCCAAACGGGTCTCAAACGCCAAAGCAGACCACGCCAAACTGAGCGAGCCTGGGAGCCCGAGGCGGCGGATCCAGCCATCGAGGCTGGGAGGGTTCCACCGGAGGGTGTTGAGGCAGGGCCCCGAAACCCAAACCCTATGTAGAGTACAGGTTGGACACTGGCCCTGCTCATGTTCCCTGTATTTGCCCTGATGTTCCCTGTGTTTGCCCAAAACTTCGGCCCATGGTTTTGACCTATGGTCTATATGCATTTCCAAATCACAAAATACATATATACATATATGTATTGGTATACCACTATGCACCCACAAATGTATATATATATATGTATCATACACACGTATATGTATATGAATATAGGTATATGTGTGTGTATAGTATAGTGTACGAGCCGTCAGGGCTCAAGGCCTTGACTCCGCAGGCCGAAGCGCCGGCGGAACCGCCGGCGGAAGCGGCGCCGGCGCCGTCGTTGGAGGGCGGGCGCGTGCTGCCGCTCCTTGGCTTGGGCGGGGGGCTGTGATGCGGCGAAGGGGATCCACCCCTGAGTATCCCCGTAGAAAATTAGGAGAGTTGCAAAAGATTACTAAAAAAAGGACCCACAGGGAAGACGAGGTAAATTCCGCGAGAACAAAGGGCATCCAAACCGTTTTCTAAATCAAAGGGGCGTCCTTGGGGTCCGAGTCTCACCCCCCGAGTTCATGAACTTCAGGCAAACAAAGCAGCAGGGAGGCGGGGAAAGCAGGAGTGTGTGTGAGCGGCAATACACTGTGGACCTTTGTCTTTGTGTTTTGCAAACCGGAAGAGAGCCTTGGCTTCCCTAGAGCTCGTCAGCTGGTCTTCCCAAAGACCTTTATGAGCACACATGACTTTTGCCCGGGGTCCCAGCAAAGGTGTTGTTTTTCTGACACCCGTTCGACCATTCAATCAACAGTTGCTGTTCAACCCAAACAGCACAAGTACGTGACATTTATGGTTGTTATGGCGGTTAGAGGTTACTTCCTTTCTAGCCATGGTTATACCCTACATATCGAGGTGGCTGAATATCCAGGTGTGTCAACCCTGCATCAGTTCATGGCATTTCCCAGTCTAGCTGGGTTGCTTGCAGGTGTGGAGAAACCTCACATGTAAAAATCACCTATGACAAACCCGACGTTTTGGGCTCACAATTTTTGACCCCAAGCTGATCCATCGGATCTGCACCGAGGTTTTACCCAGTTGCCAGTGGTTCCTTTTTTCATGTTTGTTTGTGTTTTTTTATTGGAAGGGTTCCCATTTAAAGTCAACCAACCAAAAAGATGCCGATTCCTTTTTCCCATGGAAATCCACTGGGCATCTGACGTTTGAGGTGGCTGCTGTACACGCTCTTGGTTTCCTTCGGCAGCACCTTTGTGTACTTCTTCTTGACCTTGGGAGAGCCCACCCGCGTGCTCTTCGCGCCTTGTCAAGCGAATCCGTTTTCGACACGGTACGACCTGAGAACTCACCTGGTAATGTTGACCGCGGATGAATAACTCAGTTGTTCAAAGCGAATCGACCTCTTGACCTTTTGGTTTTCCCATTTTGGTCCAAATTTAGTCATGACCCCAACAGGTTAACCTTTTAGTTCCAGGCTCTTGGGGCAACTGAGATAAATATACAGGTCCTATTCATAGAGGCCTCACTCCCTGAGTTCCTGGACTGAACAATTTTCTTGGTTCAGACAATTTCAGTGGTAAATAGAAAGTGTTGGCCTCAGGAAGTGAGGCTCCCTGCAACAATGGTTTGAACGCCCACCAAAAGTGACCATCCCGTTGATTTTGATTGGGGCTTTATGAATCCTGGGTTCCCATGCTCCCTTAATACGGTCGCTGGATCCTCTGGGCGTCTTTTGCCCTGAGACACCCAACGCTCCTGGCGACTCACCGGGAGATGTTTCTGTCACCACTTTGGAACACAGCAAATAGCGTGAAAAGGTCCGAAAAGGTTACTTTGGCATATCTCTCTTTCTATGTATATATATATATATTTATTTGTGTTTTGCTTTGTTGAATTGTTCCTCTATGTATGGTATATACAGATCATAATTCATCCTTTGGTCCTCCAATTGGCCAACCTTTCCAACCCTTCGGCCTGTTTTCGTCGCCCTTTTCCGGTGACGCCTGCCTGGAGTCCTTGCCAGGTGCCGATCCCCAAAGTCTCGGAGAACTTCTTCGAGTCCGTGAACCTGGCGACCTCGGTCCGGGGCCCCGGAAACGGCCCCTGGCGCCAATGGCGCGCAAGGACCTTGAAGCGGCCAGGCGACTCCTAAAGCTTAGGATGTGAATTGTCTCAGGGGCGTTTGAGGTTGGATCACTTCTGAGCTTGGATCATTTTTTTCCTTTATCTGAGGTTGACACGATGGGGCGGGTCGGGCGGCTTTCCCCGATCCAAGAGGTTCCGGCAACTCCCAAGTGCACATTCTCAATGCGGCAGACTCGGTCTGAACATCTTACAGTGGTTTCGGCGTACCGAGGCGAAGCCTGTTCGGCCAAGCAACATACAGGGCGGGTTCCAGGGCCCCTCTTCTGCCAGAATCATCGACCCCAACAAGGGGTCCCAGATGACTGGAGTCTGTTCCAGGGGACTTCTCAGCAAATGGAGGTGCCACTTGGTTTATCTTCAATGCCTCAGCTGTAATTGAGGCTGTTCCGCTTCTTGGCTTCGATGTTTAGACAAACTCGACGTTTTAGTCCTGGCGCTATGTGGGCCTCAGCTGGTAATTTAGCTGCGGACAGGTACTCTTCTTCGCGGAGTTCGGCGCAAGAGCGTGCCGGCCTCAGCTCCCTTGCAGTCAGCCTGCCTACCAATCCATCCCCTGAGGTTCAATCGAGTTTTCCTGACTTGTTCGTGGTCCATTTGGGAAAAGGGAGCGCGGGGCACTGAGTTTTAACCCCGGAGGAATGTTCCCATGCCCTGAAAAGGAAACAAGTGCTGCTGACTGCAGGCTTGCAAAGTGAACAGTTATGAACAGTTTCCTTCCATGTCCTTTTGCCCAGGGGCCAAACTTCCAAACGTCCCGCAGCCGGGTGTACTCATCGTCTTGCGCTGACGCAAGCCCATGGTGAAATTCCTGCGCCTGCGCCGAGGGCGAAGGGTCAAGCGGCCTATCTGCGCTCCCTGCCCCACCTCTGCATCGACGTGCTCGCCTTCCTCCCCGGCTTCGCCTCCAGCATCATGTGGTTCTCCAAAGGCGCCGCGGCCAGGGCTTGAAGCTTGAGAGTTCGACGTACCCAGTTGAGAAGCAGTGCAGTCCTCAGCAGTTCCCTGAGTTTCTTTGTTGCCTAGTGCCCGTTTTCCGACCTGTTTTTGTTATTCCCCGGTGTTTTTTCCTTCTTCTGTTTTTCCGGTAAGGGTTCTCTTTAAACCCAACCAGCCAAAAAAGGGTGCCCTTTTTTTCCCATGGCCACTGGGCATCTGAGGTGTAGAATGTGTGACATGTCCGGTTAAGCGTTGCAGTTTAGCAGGGCATGAACAAGGCCCTAAGGGTTGAGCAGTCAAGAAATCCTGGAAGAGCCGTCCAGCACCCGCAAGACGGGGAAAGCGCGGAGAAGCGGGTGGGATACTGAACGTTGAGGGCACATGTGCAATGCGTGGGTCATCACATCCCGCAAAGGAGAAGAGAGCAGTCTGAATTCTTGTTTCAGTGCCATTTTCACTGCCAACAAGCCCAGCTTGATGTCTTAAATGGAGCTTTTGCTATTCCCTTGGGGGAGGGCTCCGTTGTCTTTGGACCACCTTACCTTACTGCAGAAGGTCCGTGAAGATGTGTTGTGCACCGGGGCTTCCAATGGAAGACCCGACACATCCATCAGACACCCCGCAAACTGGTGTTTGGGGGGTAGACCTTTGTGAACGGTGACCAATATGGCCATGGGTCAAAAGCCCGTACCCCCGAGTGAACATCCCAATCCCCACTAAAATGGGTGGTGAATTCACCTATCCCAAAATGGAATTGGTTTTGGCCATTTGTAGGGCCTTTCCCTTTTTGGAGGATCCTAATTTGAACCAAAACCCTCCAATCCAAATCCCCTCCGCACCCAGCAGGAGCAGGGCCATATGCAGGGCTCGAAATGCATCGGGAGCCTCTGGGTCCGAAACTCGGCCCCCAGGCGCTGGCCCCGAGTGGCTGCGGGGACTCTGCGTGCTGCGGGTGCTCAAGGCCGAGCGCGCCTTGGCTCGGGAAGAACCCTCCGGCCGGCGCCCGTTTTTTGATTGTTTTGTTTCTTCCTCCCCAGCGGTGGGGGGTAAACCCTGTTCCCCCAGCGGTTCCTCACTTCCTGAGCTCATGGGGGTTAAACCCTGTTCCCCCCAGCGGTTCCTTTATTCTCACTTCCGGAGTTGTGTTTTTTGCCCCCAGCGGTTTTCTATTCGATTTTTGCTGAGTTCATGGAAATTCAGTCTTTTGCAACGACCATTGGGTAGTAAACTGGAGGTTTGGACCTTGTTTTTCGGCAAATCCACTCAGGGAGTGACAATACCCTGGTTGATGAACTCGGGGGAGTCCCCTCTTACTTGGCGGGGGGGGTCGTTTGAGGCTATGTGGGCGCCTTCGCAATGATGGCCTCGATCCTGGGGGAGAACGGCGCCATTTTGAAGGCCACCGCCGCTCGGCTGGCGGCTGGCGGCTGGGCGGGAAGAAGCCGGAAAGCCAAAACGTTGCTAGGTGTCACGGAGTTTCGGGCCTTGAAGGGTGAGCTGAGTGAAGCGGCACGGTTTTTTTTTTGAGGATTGGGACCCCAGCAAATGGTGCCCTTTCTCACCGTTTCTCCTTTTTGGTTGGGAGGGTTCGGGACCCCACTAAAATAGAGAACAGAACCAAGTTTGTACCCCTTATTCTAAGCCCTCTACTGGAGGACCTAGGTTGCCTGTTACCAACAGACGTGGCCTGGTGCACTTCTTCTTCATCTTCTTCTTCTTCACCTTATGCGTCTTCTCCTTCTTCTCCTCCTTTTTCCTTTGCCTCTTCTGGGAAGACGATGTTCCTTTGTGAGAGGAAGCTTGTGCAGCTTCATGTTTGCTTTTGGGAGGGCATGTCACGGTTTTCTTCACACTTGGAGATGTGATTTTCCCGTCGGAATCTTGTTTGAAGCACATATCCCCCCCAGCAAGCTAGGCGCTGGACATGTGAAGCGGCACAATGCATGTGGGACGCTGCCCAGAGAGCAAGCCTGTGGTCATAGGATGTGTCTTCGATTTGGGTGCGCCCACAAATTGGTAATTTCTCTTGGCTTCAATCTAAACCAGCCCAACCCGGGTATCCGCAAACAAAGAACTACATCACCCAGAAAGTTGCATACGTCGACCCACCTGTTTTGCAAGTGGAGTTGTTGAGACATCCTGGCGGAGCTGGGCTGTCAACTGCCAACTGTACATTTTTTTGGCATGGGGTTTGGCGGTGGGAGCATATGGACTCTGGACAACTTTCACTAGTCTGTTTGGAGCAAAACAGGCCAGCCACAAAAAATTGACCGCCCTGGTTACAAGCGAAGCAGATCTGGGGGAACCCCTTTTTAGCGGATTCCAAGGGACACCTTAGGGAAACCGAAATCCATTGTTGAGGGTGTCCCTCAGTTTGAGACAAACCCATATCCCAGTTGTAGCCAGGGTTGCAACCTACCTGACGTCTACATCCAAGGGTTGCCAAGCCTAGCTGAGGCGTTGGTGAGCTTCCTGCTGTGGCTGCTGGTGTCCAGCCTGCTGTGCCTAAGCAAAGCCTTCCGGGTGTGTTCTGCGTCCCCTCTTAGTGGGATTCGGACCACTTTTGGAGGGAACACGGGGTTATTAATCCTGGGTCAACATTATGGATCTCTGGGGGTTGTCCGAGCTCACAGTGATGTCGATCCCTTACTTGGGAGTCCTTGCAGATTTCGAAGCTATTGTAGGACTTGCAGGTCTTCTAGCTGTCGCTTGGGCGTGGGCTAAAATAGCGGACCCCTACCCCCCAAACAAAAGAACAACAAAAAACTAAAACACATATGTTTCCTGTCTGGCTTTCCAAGTAAACCACCGTGGAAAAGACAGCGACAAAGTCAGGGCAATGCTGGTGGGAACTCAGGATAAATAAACCGCTTCTGGATGAATAGGGCATGTCCTGCTAAAGAGGGAGTCCGATCACTATTGGGGCAAGTTGCACCTTCGAATCCACTTTTGGGCTGTTCAATGAAAGTAGGTGGCATCTGTTGCATTGGGAAAGGTCCTCCCCTTAACTTACCCACCAAAAAAGGGAGCTGTGCCATCTACATTTACTCTAGTGTAGCTGATCGGGGTGAGCATCCCGACGCTGCAGGCACTTCACGGAAAGGTTCAACCCGGACGAAGAGGTCAAGGACGCGGTTTCTGCTTAGCTTTGGCTTGCGCCAACTTTCTGGGCTGCGAATTGGCCCACACCAACCGGGGCTCCTTTGCCTCCCTCAGAGCTCCTTTGCCTCCCAATTGGTCAGTGGCGCCGTTCTTCCGGATCTGTTCAGCGAGTTCCCCACCAAAGATCGTCAACCCCAATAAAAAGGTTCCAAATAGGTCGCCATTTTAATGCCTGAGCGCGGTGCATGTTTCACCTCTCTGAAGTGGGAAGATGTTTATGGCCCTAGCAAGTCCATTGGACCTTCCAGTCATGCCGGACCTTTTTGCGGGAGAGGAAACAGCAAAACACCGCAAGATGTTCCAGGGCTTTTCGGTCGGAATGCCTTGGTTGGCCTTCAATATTTTGTTTCTTTAAAAAGGGGGTTGGCTCTATTTGGGGGGACCGAAAATGGCGCAGCGGTTTTCGTTTTTGGTTTCCGGATAAAAGGCCTGCCAAAAGAGGGTTCACAACCAAAATGGCTGAATATCCCTCTCCTCCTCCATTCCTCCCCCCCCAGCCCCCAAATGCCCCCATAATAAGCCCATTCAGGCACCCACGAAAATGGCGCAACGGTTTTTGTGCTTGGTTTCCCTTTCAAACCAACCATAAGAGGGCTCCATCAAAAAAACAACAATCCCGCCGCGAAGCTTCTTGCCCCATTGCCACTCGTTCTGGACTTCGCAGGAAGTCTACGCCTCTGTGCCAAGGGCCTTGTGGGCGGAGGTGATCAATTTGCACGGTGCAGCCCGGCGAGAGTTGCGAGAGAAGGAATCAGTGGGCCATAGCTTTCTGAATTCAAATAATGTTTATGAGTTTGCATTATTTTATGTCTTTTAAACCAGAAAAAAAAGAAACAAAGCAGCCCGGAAGGCAGCTTGACATATTGTTTGGTTTGATTTCAACTGGTTTGGGCATTCTATATCTTCAGGCCCTGTCCCTGCAACCTGTTTTGAGTTTGAGGCTGCCGGCTGTGAGGCCAATAGAATCCCCGAAGCGAGCATCGCTCAGAGGTCACCAGGATAATGGGGCTGGTGAATTCCTGGAAACAGGCGGGGCATTGGTTTTTGCCGTTTGCAGCTTGGGAAGTCCCCCGACCTTTTGTGGACCTTGTGAACTTGTGGCCAAGGGAATCCATACTTAATACGAACCAAGCATGATGTACACTCTGTACTGGGCATTTGGTAACCTCTCAGTTGGTGGTTTGGATTGGTGCTTTGGATTTGGATCTCAAGCCCTGGTTCTTGTAGAGGGTCAATGGGACACCACCCCTAACCACCAAACCAGCAATCCAAACCACCAGTTGGTGGGAAGCTGACACTGGGTTTTGTAAGGGGTTGTGCTACTCAAGGGAACTGAGGGCCCAATGGCCTGTGTACTCTTCTGAGATAAGCAAAGAAGAACCCTTGCCAGGCTGCTTGAAACAAAAAGAGAGTCGCCCAGAGGTATCCGCCTTTGCAACCGCGGGCATCCCCACCCCTTTCAACATGGAGTGAGGAGTTCGACCGGAGGTTTCTCATTTGTGGCCAGCCATTTTTCCCTGTGGGGACTGGAGAAAACCCCCCCCCGCCCCCCCCCCTCATGCGCTCATGACACTGAGGCCGGAAGCTGGGGATTGAAGCGCGAAACCTTTCGCATGTGGGGTGCGTGTCTCTTTGCTTTAGGGGGACTTGCCCCCCGAAGGAGCCACCAAAAAGAGCAAGTTCTCCCAAACAAAAACGTGCAGTGCTCAAACGGCACGTAGGGTTTCAGCATGTCAGCCATCAGGCCCGAGTGCCTCAGGAAAGTTCCAGGGGGGCCTTGAGAGGTGGAGTCTCAGCACAGGACCCCGAAGCCCACCCGACGCCACCAAGACCGAAGTCCAAGGAACTTGAGGAATTCAATTCTCTTTAGGCGCCTTCCTGCAAGCAAAAAGCAACGCCCACCTGTCGAATCCGTCGTGGCTGCATTGATCAGCTGAAGCCCTATGAGCAGCCGCCCAAATCAAACACCCTCGCTGCTTTGTAGACTGAAAGAAGCCCCCATCAGTGGCAACTGGCGCTGCACTCATTTGCCGTGATTCCCCCGTGGTTTGGTGGTTTTTCGCTTGGTTTGCCTGGATATATTTCGTCGGCATCGGCTTCCGCAACGCTGAGGAGTGGCCTTGGTGCGACTACACCTGGCGCGGAAAAGCCATCGGCACCTTCCTGAACTTTGTGAGCATTGGGCGCCCTGGCAAAAGGTTCCTCCGGCTGCCGGGGGCCGATTACCGGCCCTCGGATTTTTCTTGCGGATGGGCATGGTAAGAAATATCTCCCCAAAGCCATGGTTGCGGGAAAATTGGGGGGGGGGATGGGTTTTACGGTGCCACTGGCTGTGATACCCTTGGGGAATCCACTTTAGAATGAGGACAAGGGTGATCGTGCATTGGTACTGTGGATGGACGAAATGCTGCACCACCTAAGAAACTCTGGAATGGTCTGATTCCCTGTAAATACAAACAAACAGTGGTGTCCCATGGTTTCTTAGGTGGTGCAGGATATCGTCCATCCACAGTATTACAGAAAGGGTTTCCCAAAATCACATGGTCCACTACGGAACTCCCTCAATGCCCAACGGGTACCTTGGTATCAATCAGGTGGTACGCTGACCCCGTGAATTCTGTAAAACCATCCTCAAACGGTACCGGTACCCTTTTTTGGGATTGGTGGTGGCGTAAAATCTCATTGGCATTTCTCCAAATTGAGACCCCTCCACATCCAAAAGGGGTCCGCTATGTTGAAACCCGAACGTGCTTGCTTGGCGAAGGTTCCGGTACACTGGGCCTGTCAGGGGAATTTCCAAACTCCCTAGACTTTGTTGACAGCACAGATCTGATGATGATGCTGATGATGATGAGGAGGATGAGGATGAGGATGAGGATGAGGATGAGGATGAGGATGAGGATGAGGATGATGATGAGGAGGATCGACCCTGTGAAGATGTGACTGGTCGCATCCCTGTTTTGGAGACATTCCGACCCAGAAAGCTCCTGTTTTCCAGGAGGTCGATCCGTTCATTTTCTGATTGCGACACTCCCCTTATCCAAATGAACCTTGCGCCCAAAACTGTTGGAGCAGTAGGAGCATGCTTGTTCCGGGTCCCTTCAACTGATGGTTGAAGTTTGCGCCCAAGCCCAAAAAACTGTCGGAGCAAATTTGGTTGCGGCCGGGTGTCCTTCTTCGATTTGCGGGGAGGGAGGCGTAGCTTGGATTTGTTGTTTGGTCCGTGGAAAGGGATCCCGAGCGGCTCGCTCGCCTGTTGGCAATGGAGGGCGCTTCAATTTGTGTCACAGCTTAAGCTCTTCAGCCCCGGGCATTGTGGATGGACGAAAACCGGCACCAAAGACACCCTGGTTTATGATGATTCCCCTGTAAATACCAATGAAAAATGGTTTCAACCATGGTTTCCAAGTGGTGCAGGATTGTGTGGTGGAATCACCGTCCAGGGTTTCTTAGGTGGTGCCGGATTTTGTCCATGCACAATGCTCGCGGCTGAAGGCTTATGATCCCCCTCCAAAAACCAACAAAGAACCGTCTCTCATGGCTTCGAAGTGCTGCGAAAAGGATTTTGCCCATCCACGGCATTACTGGCGCCATATATATTCCCAACCCACCCGCTGCCCCCCCAAAGGTCAACAGCTGATCTGTAGGCGATTCGCTTTGCCGTCGTTTCTTCTCCCTGAATTGCGGACTATCACCTTCTTTGCAAGGGTCCGTTTGGGCCTTGGACATTTCTTTGTTTTGTATCACTTTAATGGGACATCTCTTGGCACAGCAAGTGGCGACCCACAACAACAACTTCCACAATCACGAGTATAGCTTGGTGGTTCACAGCCACCCCCTTAAGGTTTTAGGGTTTTAGGGTTTAGCAGTAGTTTCCACTAAGCCGCTAAAAGTTAGACTTTTAGCAGGGGACCTGGAACAGCGCAGATAGGTACCCCATACGGATCCGTTTGCTGGGTCAATCGGGCCCAAGGGACAACCAGAAGGTGCCGGCCGAATCCTTTTTCTGCATTTATAGGCTAGCAAGCTTTTTGTTTGGCGCCTCAGAAAGGTGACTGTATGTGATTCTAGGGGGCCATACACAGAATTCGAATTTCCGGTCATTGCCTCCTCAATGCATAACATACACACAGATATATATATATATATGTATATATATATGTGTTTGTGTATGTGTACATATATATATATTCATATGATATGCGGTTATATCTATATATATATATATATGTATATGTTGTATGTGTATAAATATATATATATATACATATGTATCGGTTCTCCTTAGCCGGCTCTGGATATTGAGTCCCGGTCGACAATTTTTCGGCAAAGATCCGCGTCAGGATTTGCATGGTGCCGGTGGTGGTCTTCAGCGACGCCTTCATGAGTCGCGTGGGCCAAGAGGCACGGCCCGCGGTTTTTGCGGCATGGGGGGCCAGAAGCCGAAAGGACCGTGAGGGAAGAGATATCTTCCCCTGAGCTCACGGTTTTTCGGGCCTTGAAGAGTGAGTTGAGTGAAGCGGCACGGGTTTTTTTGAGGATTGGGACCCCAGCTAGGTGCCCTTTTACTGTTTCTTTTTTGGTTGGGAGGGTTTTTCCCTACTAAGATAGACTACAGCAAAAGGTTGGTACACACTTATTCTAAGCTCTCTACTGGAGGACCTAGTTGAGGATTGGCCCCCTCTGAAAATGGCGCGACGGTTTTCCTTGTGCCCAGAGGTCCAAGTACCCTATTTTTCGCGGATTTGAGGAATTCTGTTAGGAGTGGCAAACCGAGGTGCGCCTACGCGACCTCCATCACTAGTTTGATAGGAGCCATTGCACCCTACTGGTGACTAGGGGCCATGAAGGATCATTCAGCCACAGCGAGTTGTGGTGTTCCGATGTTTTGTGTTCCCGTGAGTGCCATGAGAGGGCATTCTCTTTCTACCTGCATTGTCGGTCTACATTCTGGGACAGCAATGCTCATTGCAACATGTTTCATTACTATGCAATAGGACGAAACTTTGAGACACCGTCTTCATCCCCTTCCTCTGTTTGCCTTTAGCAATTTCCTTTGCGTTTTTTTACATCAGCCTTTCGGTTTCAAGATTAGGTTCCTTCCGTTTGGGTGACGTTTAAAGGGACAACTTCTTATCGTTCTATTCAACCAGAGGACCGCATTAAACAGAGGCGGTCCGCACTGCGGTCCCCTTATAGTAGGGACTTGATTTTTTTTTTGGGATTCCTTTGATTAGTCGAGTCACTCGCATCAATTCGAGGTCTCTAAGGAACCACCCCTTCCCATGAAGTCAAAGTAAGAGGGGGCAGGGGATCGGGACCCAGGGACCCTGCAGTCAGGTGAAAGTAGATGGCATTAAGACCCAGGGACCCTGCAGTCAGGTGAAAGTAGATGGCATTAAGACCCAGGGATGCTACAGTCAGGTGAAAGTAGATGGCATCGAAATCTCCCCCATTTGAGTTTTGTCATCTTCCTTACGTCGGACTTACCACCACAATGGGAATTGCGCCATCTACCGTGGGCTCGCTTCCCCAGCTGAAAGCTTAGGGGCCTATGCCCAAGCAATCTCCCAGTTGCCCAGTGGTGCCCTTTGTTCCCTTTTTTTGGGAAGGCTTCCTCAAAGTCAAACAGCCAAAAGAAGGATGCCCAGTTTTTCCCATGGAAATCCACTGGGCATCTCTGGGGTGGAATTCGGAGCTTAAAGATTGACCTCTTCGGCCTGCATCGCAGGCCGAGGTGAAGGCGCAGGCGGGGCATCTTTGAGCGAAACTCACTGAGGGAGGCATTGATCTAGACTGCCAGGGCGCCTCCCCAGACCTCGCTGTCGCTGGAGACTTGTCCTCTTATATACACTTATATAGTCATGTTTAGAGGATGATGGTCTTTGGTGCCGTCTTTGACTTGAGTGAGTTTCTCTCCTCCAGGCGCCGGCCGCACTGCCAGCACCGGCGCCGAAAGCTCTGGAAGGCGCCGCGCCGTCGCCGGAAGTCGAGGCGGCGCCCGCGGCGCCCGCGGCGCCGGAAGCGGCGCCCGCGGCGCCGGACCCGGCGCCGGAAGCGGTGAAGGAGGAGGCTTCGACGGGAGCTGTGGAGGCAGGGGCTCGAAGGAGCGAACCGCTTGAAGCAAAGAATCCGGGGAAACCACTGTAGTTCACCAACCTGAAAAACTTACATTAGGTCGTTTTGAAACATCCACTGACAGAAGGCAAGTGAACACAGGGTGGTATGAGTTTGGACCCCGATCCCCAGGTCTCCACCAAAGGCCCTTGAAGAATCACGGGCAATGAAAAGGGAAGCGACCAGCATATTTTTAGTGCCCTCCAATGAAGGGCACTTGACTTGTTTTTGAATTGAGGGCACTTAAGGCCGTGTCGGTGGCCTAAGTGACCCTTTGATTCGTTTGCTAAGTGCCCTTTTTTGCTTGATAGGGGTTGGGATTCTGTTGAAATCGAACAGCTACCCGTGTCGAAGTGTGACAACTGCCACATTTGATTGGGGCCAACCCGGAAAGCCCGAACATGGCTTTTTGAGTGTCAAAGCGTGTCATTTGAGTGTCAGTGGGGCGACACGTGAATGCGAATGACACTCACACGGCGGGGGGACCCCCACTGGGCAAATCGAGCCGCAGCGACACGCGTGACACTCACGCAGGGGGGCCCGACACTAGCGTAAGTGACCTTTTCAAGGGGTAAGTCACCTCGATTCGCGCCCGCCGAACTGAGGAGGGATTCGCTGGGGAGGGCAACCCTGAGGGTCTAAGTGCCCTTTAAAAGGTGACCTCTTTGATTTAGGACTAAGTGCCCTTATTTTCAAAATGGATCATAGCACCCAAAAAATGAATCGGGGGCACTGAAAAGAAGCTGGGAGTTTAACGTCAAGGGGAAGCTGGCTTGTGGATCTTAAAGGTAAGTCAACTTGAAGGCTTTATCACGCTAAAATCGGAGTAGCTGGGGTCAATTGCCTTGTCACCAGGGCTCATATAGCACACTAGTTAAGTAGCTTGAAGATCCAAGTGCCGTGCCTGACCCATGTCTTTAGCTGGGTGGCAGGCAGGCGGGCCAGGGGTCGGAGGACTCCCTTTGGCAGTTGAACGGGGCAAAACATGACACCAGTGTGTGCGTCAAAGCACGCGGACCCCCGCAGAAGGTGGTAAGGAGATTCCTATGATAGGTCTTCCGCATCTCGGAAATGGCGGAGAGACGATGGCAGCTGAAATTCAAGGAGTGCACTGAAGCCAAGTAATTGCTTCGTTCCGCGAAAAGTCCTTCCGCGGATTCGTTCAGCAGGTTTTGCGACAGATCTGTGAGTCAAAACATACCCAGAAGGGTGTTTGGAAGGCTTCTTTGGTTGCTGTTCTTGCGTTTGGTTCGCATTTGGCTGATTTCCCCCTTGTTTTGAGCTGGCTTTGTTGCCTGTGCTCAACCGCTGAATGATTCCCCTTGCAGGCGTTGGCTTGGATCAACACGCAGGGGTTGGGCCAACGCTGTGTGTCAAAAAATGGTGGTAAAACAAGTGGTCAAACGCCATGTGTTCAATCGGGGCTCACTATATTTTCGAGGGCTATTCTTTTAGAAAAAACAAACTACAAATCGGGACCCTTATGTATTTCAGTGTTCAGTGGCTTGAAACATATTTGGGACGGACGCAATGCATTTCGCACTAGTTACCCAAGAATTCCTGGAATGATATGATCTTCCGCAAATACCAACAAGCAGTGGCTTGCCATTTTTCTTAGGTTGTGCAGAATTTCGCCCATGCACCGTACCACCTTTCGGTTGCCAATTTGGGTTGAGTTTCCTTTTGGGGTTAGGACGGAGGCAACATATAGGAAGCCCCGTGAAACATACTTTCAGATTGACTTGTTTTGCATGGTGCAGGTTTGCATTGACACACAATCATCTACGTGATGGCCTCATCGAAGATAGTAACAACCAAGTCAAATGTTCGCTTTAAGATACCCAGTTCTACCCTGTGAATCTTTGGTATTGTTACACAAGAGGCTGCCCAACCACTCCTCCTTAGATGCGTCAAAATAGACATACCGTACGTACCCCTAAAGCGATGGGTTTACTTTTGGTTTCCTTTAAGTCAACCCAACACAGGGTCCCCTCAACAAAAAGGCAATCTCACTTGTTCAGTGGCCTGGCCTGGGCACAAACCACCCGTTTTGTTGGTTTTCCCGTTTTGTTCGGTGCCCGGGCTTCGCGTGGAGTTGAAATGTGAAACGAGCTCAGCCCGGCTTCCGATGGCAAGGAGAACGCGGGCTTCGGGCTGCTCTACTCCCACCTGCTGCCGCCGAAGGTGTTGGAGAAGAACCCGCCACTTGGCTATGCTGAGGCAAGCCTTGGTTTGGGGTCATCATTTTGATGGTTTCTGGTGGTTAGCAAAGTCACAAAATAGAGGTGTTTTCCTAAGTTAACCCACCACTTACGGGGTGACTTTGATCATGGTAAAATAATGAGGCCACTTTTTTTAGTGGTTTCTTTCGTGGAACCCCCTGCCATCCGGTTCCTCTCGGCTTTTTCGCCTTTTCGTTGGCTTCGGGGTAGTTTCCGTTTGGTCCGCATGTTAACAACCTGTAGCAGGGGATCTGAAAACGTTTAGCAGCCCAGGTTTGGGGTTCAAAACCCATGGTCCTCGAAGAGGCTAAATGGGAAGCTACCTAATGTTAACCCCGGATTAATAGGGGCGATGTCATCAACAACTAGGCCCATCTATTTCCCCCCGAAAAGGACACCTATGGAGGATGGGGTACTGGTATCCCGGATTAATAAACCCCTGGTTGATTTTGATCGGGGGGTGTCCAATTCCTTTTAGTGGTTGGATTCGGACCACTTTTGGAGGGGTTTTCACCCCCCCGAAATAGTGGGACGGGTTCTACTTAGATCCTGGGTCAACATTACCACCAAGCCCGATGTGGCTTCAAACCACCGGGTTTGGGATGCGGTGAACGAACTCGCGTTCCATAGGTTGCTGTATGCCATAGCATTCCGGGGCCCGGGTTTCAGTTTGTTTGTTCAAGGGAACTGGGGTTCTCACTGACTGAGTTCCTTGACTTCATACCTTTTTGGGGCGATCATTTCACTTGTAAACAAAACAAAAGAAAAACACAGTTTTCTGACCAATCCACTCGGGAAGTTGCTGTTGCTATTTTGAGAGGATATGTTGCGCAGTCGCGGCGATCTTCCCCAGAAAACTCTCATCCGTTACTCGCTGAAGATATGGCTGGTGCAGATCAACGCGGGTTGCCCAAAAGCCCCCCCCCCCCCATGTGTATGCAGCAGTATTCACAAAATCCTTTTTGGAGACTGGGTTCCAAGGGCCATCCCCCTGGAGATTTGTCCATTTTGGATTGCGTGTATCGGCTTTTTATCACACCGCGAAACGTGTTTTTGCTTGCTTGGTAATTCACTGCCGGCCTTTTTAGATTGTTGTGTTTGCTTTTCTTGTTTACTTGGTAGCTTGCTTCCTTGCTTCCTTGCTTCCTTGCTTCCTTGCTTCCTTGCTTCCTTGCTTCCTTGCTTCCTTACTTTGTTGCTTCCTTACTTTGTTGCTTCCTTGCTTCCTTGCTTCCTGGCTTCCTGGCTTCCTGGCTTCTTGGCTTCCTTGCTTCCTTGCTTCCTTGCTTCCTTGCTTCCTTGCTTCCTTGCTTCCTTGCTTCCTTGCTTCCTTGCTTCCTTGCTTCCTTGCTTCCTTGCTTCCTTCCTTCCTTCCTTCCTTCCTTCCTGGTTTCAGCCTCCCGACTCCCTGCTTCGGCGCTCGAGCAAGCCTCAGGCCCCCTGTGCTCTACTACCTCCTCCGGCGCTTTGGCTCGTATGGGGGGATGTGAACCTCGAATTGGTTTGTGTGAAAGTAGAGGGACCGTTCCTTTTCGCTGTCCTTTGTTGGCCATCAAAAAAAGATGGGTCGAAAAACACGCAAACAGAAACAAACAAACAAATAAGGTGCTCATATTTGATTGATCTGCCTGCTTGGCGAGCTTGACGACCCGCATGTCCGGCTTGGGATGAGGTCGTGAGAATTTGGTCTGTGCGGTACTGTTTGTCTTTCTGAAGGGGCCCCTTTCAGCTCGGTTTCAAGAGAAACTAAAAGGCACACAGACACACAGCACACAGACACACAGACACGCAGCCACACAGACACACAGACACACAGACACACCACATGTTCTTGATACATACCTCGTATTTGGGCTCATGAATCTCAATCCGGTTGGGTCTTTCTTTGAGGTATTTTCTGTACCAATCATGGAAGTGGACGGGGCGGGTTTTGGAAGACATGCTCGTGCAAAGGCTCCTCGACATGTTGGAAGAACGGCGTCTCCACGTGGAATGGTTTCGAAGCCGAACCAACGCAAAGTACGCTCATATTGAGGGTCCCCCTGACACGAGCTTACCTAGTCAAAGGAAGTTTAGAAGGAAACTTCCGAGTTACGGAAACTAATTGAAAGGTAGCTCTGCGCAAAGATGAGATGAAGAAAGAATGAATGCATGCGAGAAAGCGTGCGTATACGTGTGGCGGGGGAATAGAAATCTGCACAAAGTGCAACCCTCTGCGGGTTTTGGCTTCTCCGGCTGGCTGAAAGCTACCCTGGTCGCGGCGTCTGACGGACGACGGGCTCGGGAAGGGCTCGGGACGGGCTCGGGACGGGCTCGGGACGGGCTCGGGCCGGGCTCGGGCCGGGCTCGCGCCGGGACCATTGGCACGGACGCGCGCACTTTCGCAAGGTTCAAATTTCGTGGCAGGCGCAGCATTTTGGCAAGGTCGGGTACAGATTTCGTGGCAGGTGCATGCATCACTTTCGCAAGGTCAAGTGCAGATTTCGTGACAGGCACGGCTTTTTCTTACTTCTGGCACGGACGCATCGCAAATCCCATTGGCACGGACGCGCAAGGCGGCGCATGCAGGTTTCGTGGCAGGGGCAGCATTTTCGCAAGGTCAGGAACAGATTTCGTGGCAGGGGCATCACTTTCGCAAGGTCAAGTAGCACTTTCGCAAGGTCAAGTGCAAAATTCGTGGCAGGCGCATCACTTTCGCAAGGTCAAGTACAGATTTCGTGGCAGGCGCAGCACTTTCGCGAGGTTAAGTACAGATTTCGTTGCAGGCGCAGCACTTTTGCAAGGTCAACTTTCGCAGCCGGGGCTCGAACATCGCAACTTTTAAGTGCGAAAGTAGTAAGCGAAGTCAACTTTCGCAGCTGGGGCTTAAAAATCGCAACTTTTAAGTACGAAAGTAGTGCGCGAAGTCCACTTTCGCAGCCGGGCTTGAAAATCGCAACTTTTAAGTATGAAAGTAGTACGCGAAGTCCACTTTCGTAGCTGGGGCTCGAAAATCAACTTTTAAGTACGAAAGTAGTACGTGAAGTCCACTTTCGCAGCTGGGGCTTGAAAATCGCAACTTTTAAGTACGAAAGTAGTACGTGAAGTCCACTTTCGCAGTGGGGCTCGAAAATCGCAACTTTTAAGTACGAAAGTAGTACGCGAAGTCAAGATAGAAAGAGAAAGAGAAAGAGATAGATAGATAAATAGAGAGAGAGAGAGAGAGAGCAAGATAGATAGATAAATAGACAGAGAGAGAGGGAGAGATAAAGAGATAGATAAATAGATAGAGAGAGAGAGATAGATAGATAGAGAGAGAGAGAGAGAGATCTCGAGAGAGAGAGATAGAGAGATATATAAATAGAAAGAAAAAGAGATAGATAGTTAGATAGATACATAGATAGAGAGATAAATAAATAGATAGATAAACGATAAGCAGACAGATAGATAGATAGACAGATAGATAGATAGATAGAGAGATAGATAAATAGATAGAAACAGAGATTGAGAGAGATACTTGGATAGGTAGATAGATAGAGAAATAAATGGATAGATAGATAGATAGATAAATAGGTAGAGAGGTAGATAGAGAGATGGATAGATAGGTAGATCTATAGATAATTAGAATTACAGATAGATAGATAGATAGAGAGATAGAGAGATGGATAAATACACGTGAGATAATGAGATAGAGAGATAGATCGATAGATAGATAGATTGAGAGATAGACAGATAGAGAGAGAGATGGATAGAAGGGTAGACAGAGGGATACATAGAGAGATATAGAGATAGATAGATAGATAGAGAGATAGACAGACAGACAGATAGATAGATAGATAGATACGCGGGAGGTAGATGGAGAGATAGATGGATAGATAGATAGATGGATAGAAAGGGATAGAGAAAGAGATAGAGAGATAAATAGATAGAAAGAAAGAGAGATAGAGAGATAGAAAGATAGAAAGAAAGAGGGATAGAGAGACAGATAGAGAAAGACAGAGACAGAGATAGAGGGATATAGAGAGATGGATAGATAGAGAGATAGAGAGATAGGTAGATATATAGATAGAGAGATAGATAGAGAAGATAGAGAGATAGATAGATAGATAAGCAGATAGATAGATAACACGAGTAGAGAGAAGCAAACGAAAGAAAGACAGAAAGAAAAGACAGATAGAAGGAAAGAAGGGAGGAAGGAAGGAAAGAAAGGAAGAAAGGAAGAATGACGGAGAAAAAGAGTCAAGAAAAGAAAGAGAAAGAGAACTATAGTTTTTATATTTTTGAAACTTCCGCCCACCGGCTTCGCCGGCTCTACTGGTAATCTAGTAGGAGGACTATATTTCACGATCACTTGGATGTTCAAACCGCTTCTTAAATAAGTTGCAACAGTGCTTACAGCTACGGGAATTGACCTGAGTAGAATAATCCATCTAATTCTGCGGTTGGCAAGAAAGATCCTGGTTTGGGATTCCGGACGTGTTCCAAGCGAGTCGAGCCTTGGGCCTTGTTGGGAGCCACAAAAGATACCCCACACAGAGACGCTCTGCCAAGAGCAGGAACATGCTTCCGTTCGTTTTCGTTTTTAGGGGGTGTGCTTCCCCCCGTCTTGTACCGGGCTGTCCATTTGAAACAGCCTACCAAAGTTTCAACGTATGAAGCCCGGGACCTGTTTGAATTTGATTTGTGAGGGGGTAGCCGGGAGGGGCTGTCTCACCAAATTGGGGGGGATCCACCAGGGGCTTTCTCACCACATTGTGGGGGATCCACCAAGAGTCACAAAAAGCGTTCCACGAGGATCACTTCGGTCATCTTCATCCTCCTGTCCGCGTTCAACACGGTCTTCGATTCAATGCCGTCGCTGTCCGTAAAGGACTTTGGGGTACCGGAAGTCATCAATTGCCAGGCCCAGCTTAGCCTTAAGCTCTGTGCCCCGTGTTCCTTCATGTTTCATTTCAACCATCAAAGGGCTTTGTTTTTGGCAGGTCGCTTAGAAATCACCAAGCTGCCTTTCTTTTGGGTTTTGAGCTCACCGATTCAGGGGTGGAACGACTTTGAGCGCCTTCCATTTGGGCATTTGTTTGAGATCTATGGGTTCGGATTCTTTTGAGGGTTCCTTTTTCAGGTCAGTGTCTATGGAAACTAAAAGGACAACCGCCGCTTTTGACTATTGTTAACACGGGCACGGGCGCATATTTCGGATTGGTGAGAGGTCGTTTTGCCAAAAAGCCACCTCTAGATTGCCCCATTTGGTTTAGTACGAGCATCCAATGGCCAGGTAGGCAGGTGTGATGCAGAATCAGGTTCGCTCCTTGTAGAAGACGTGGACAAGGCACCAATCATACAACCAGTCCAACAAATGCGCCGTGACTGACGCCGGTCATTTTGGCAGAGAACTCTCCAGAGGGGAGCTCGGCGGCCTTACCCTTCGAACAGGGTGTCCCCCAAACCTGGCTGCTGCTCAGGGAATGTGGGAATGAACCCAGGGATTCCCTAAAAAGAAGGCACAAGGGCTGGTTTATAGGGGTCATTCCATTTCTCCTGCCCTGCATCTCTCGCACCAGCAAGAAGCTTCTTAAAAACACAACTTTTCAACTTTTTGGGTAACATGGGCTATATGTCTGTTAAAAGATTAACTTCCCCAATCCTTGGAGTGTTAAGGGGTAAGGCTTTGTTTCACTCAAACGGCGCTTTCTTTGCCTTTCCGACTTCCGCCGCGCCCCGCAGCTTTGGCTTCCGGCGCGGAAAAAAAGCATCCGCCGAGCGAGTGGCGTCTTGCGAGCGACGCGGCGCAGCCGGCCATGAGCGACGTCACGACATTCACGACCATGCCTGGCGAGTGGCGGGAGGATCTGATGCACGCCAAAGGAGGCAGGGAACAGTTCATTGAAAACAGAAAGAACTTAGATCCTGACGTTGCGGACTCCATGCTTGTTGGGCACTTTTTGTTGACCAATCCACTCAGGAAGTAAGGGGCTGAATAATTAGACACACTTGCTCCCTGAGTTCTAGGGCTACATCATTGTTTGATAAGGTCACTTTAGCGGCAACACAGCTTTGGCCAATCCACTCAAGAAGTGAGTACACAAGGGCCTGAACAAAGTAATTACATTGCAAGCATTATTCCCCGATGAATGTCAAGTGATGCTCAAAGACCACCCCATCTCGACCACTGCCTGTTTGAAAAGTGAAGTCTGTGACTCAGATAGTACCCTACATCCCCATTCTATTTTCATTAGGCCCGTGTAGTACCTTCGGGCAGTTCCATGGTTCCGCTTTCACCCATTTGGGTCATTGAGTTTCATTTACTGCCCGGGAGATTCCACGGAATCGCCTGAGGGAGGGTGGTTAGTAGGTCATACTCGTAGCTTGGAGCCTCTTGGATGTTGCGGCCGGCCAAGTCAGGCATGTACTTGGTCTCACCATGTCTCACCACGGCTATGTCAGGTTGGGCACTGGCTGCTGCGTTCCAAACCAGTTTTGGCCGTTTAGCCAACACGAAGCTAGTACTTGTTTGAGGTGGGTCGAGAGGATCTCCGAAGGCTCGCGAAATACGAGCCACAATCTACATGACACATGGTTCGTTTGGGCTACTGCATTCCTCTGGTCAATAAGTTGGGGGCCCTTGCCCCCACTGAAGGCTGGCCTTGAGGTTGGGTGGAACCCACTTTCCCCAAGCGCGCCTGGCTTCGAGGGGTGCCTTCGAGGGTTTTCTTTGCCGCAAAGGCGAGCCTGGAAAACAGGCCCCCCCCCCTCCCCCCGGAAGGCGTTTGCAGTACATTGTGGCTGTGGTGGTCAAGACCGTTTTGGGATCCCATTTTGGGGTAGGTGAATGCACCACCCATTTTAGTAAATGTTTTAGTGAGGATTGGGATGTCCACTGGGGGGGTAACCGGGCCTTTGATCCATGCCCAAGTACGTGAAGCTTGCCATGAGTCAAGGGGGAGCCCGCCCTTTGTAAAGGGATTCCCAAGTTACTGCCCGACCGGCTGGTTGGTTGGTTGCTGGGTTGGCTGGCTGTGACTTGGCTCGGCTTGGCTTGGTTGGGTTGGTTGGCTGGTCGCTGGGTTGGTTGGGTGGTTGGGTGGTTTGGAGGTTGGCTTTTCCGGGCCTTCTTGACGGCTGAGGCTTCATCCCTGCCTTGCTGGTGGGCCTGGTGCTCACGGCCATGTTGGCGGGGTACATGTGCATCCGCGTGCACCATTGGCGCTCCGAGTTTGAGGAGACTCGTTGCGTGGCTCTAAGCGATGAAGTGGCCTAGCTTTTCATGCCTCGCGCCAGCCTTCTTGTATGATCAACGCGCACAACCAACCCAGGGAACTATCCCCCCAATCCCAACTCTGTAGAACCTACTTGCGAATAGTTGGTTGAGCATCCGAGTAGCGTTTGGCGCTGATGTCTTTCGTGCGTTGCTCCCGTGCTCCCTGTGGTTTTGCAGATGGCAAAGAATGGGCGCGTGTCAAGATAGGGGCTACGCCACCCAAACAGTTGGTGGCTTCTGTTGGTTTTCCTTTGAGCCCCTAGGCATTTCTACCTCTTGGGTCTTTGGGGCAAAGAGCCGAAGCTCCTCTCAGGCCCCTTGTGGCAGGTTGCTAACCCGAGTCCCTTTCTGGATGTCAAAAATTCATGCCTTCAGCAGCTGATTTCGACCGCAGGTGGTTATTGGATGTATTTTTGAAGGAACCCTGCAAAAGGATGGATCTTGGCAATGATTTCACAAGGTTCACCACCCCGGCAAGTTTGGGGTTAACCGTCTGCCTTGCTGACCATGGCCGTGACCAACTTACAGTTGGGTGAAAGTAGATGGCACAATTCCATCACGGTTTAATGCCCTTTGCTTGCCCACAAGGGATTTAGGCTGATTCACCTAGGTGCAGCAGGTGTGGCTTGACCCCCACGCGCGTTCGGTTCGGCCGAGCTAGCAAAGTGGAGCTAGCCCGTTTGTACTAGGTTACTGGCTCTTGCTTAAAGCCAACCCTGTGCGCACTCGGTCACTCACCACTTAGCAACTTGGGCCCCCGTTGCCCTTTGAAGCTCTTGTTATTTTTGGTTTGCGCTCGTGCTTATGGCGCGCAGATGCCCATAGCTGACCCAGTGGTGCCCGTCTTTGCATTATGGTTGTTTCCCGGGTTTTCTGTTTGTTTCCCAGCTAAGCAAGGACAGGATCTTTTTTTTTGGGGGGGGTCCTTTGACTAGTAGGGTCTGGATTAATCATTCCGAATTTAGCATTACTCAGATGGCTTCGCTGTTGTCGTCTCATTTGTACGGGGATGCAAGCAACATCATGTACCCTCAATTGGTGGCTTGGATTGGTCAGCCAAACCGCCAACTAGGGGTAAGGTGGTAACAGCCATATTTTTCGCACGCCCAAGGGTCGGGGAGAGCTTTGGCGGATCAACCAGCTCAGGCGCAGCCCGGCTGCAGTGGCAGGAGGCCCTCCCCGGTCGCCGGCGCATCGCCAGTGCCTCGTGCCGAATGGAGCTGGTGGGCCTCGAGGCGGGGGCATGGACGGGTCTTCCGCATGCTCCCTTTGAAGCCGTCCCGAAAAGGGTTACCACCTCAAAATACGACACGCCGCCAGAAAAGATATCCCAATTTCCAACTGAAATGGCACCCTCTATCAATCCGCCAGGGTCTCTGAAGACAGACCGTTTTCGGGTCTTGTTTTCGCTGGGGGCGCCAGTTTTGTGTTGCCTCGGCTTGGCTCGCTGTTTGTGTTTTGTTGTTGTTCATTTGCTGGTTTCTTGTTTTTGTTCATTTGTTTGGCTTGCTACTACTGATCAACCTGAGAAAGGATCACCTTTGAGATAAGAAAAGCTCAACGATTTCACTCATCAAGGTCCTTTGCTTGGATCCGATTCTTACTGCCGGTGTTGAAATTGCTCAGCGGTTTTTGCAGTTCCTCAGGAGAGTCTGTTTCCGCATTAGGCATCGAAGGGTCCGATTTGCGCTCAGGACGGCGAGTCAGGCCCGCCGCGTAGCAGGCTGGGCCACTTACGCCAGGGCTAGGGTGCTTCACGAGTAAACCGAGCGATTTTGGCCATGAGAAAGACCCTTAGGGGTTCCCTTAATTGTTTCTTGGTGGCTCCCAGCCATCCCCTTAGCCTTTTAGCTGTTTTGTGTTTAGTGGTTGTTTCCAGTTAACTAAACTTGATCTTTTAGCGGGGATCTGAGGGCAGCGCTGAATTCCAACGCCATAATTTGGGAACCCTGCGAAATTTTGGAGTCCCACCTCGTGCTGGGGTTTGAAGTCATATGGTTCAATCTCCTGAATTTGTTGCAGCCAAGTCTGGTTACTTGTTCTGACCAATCTTCCCCAACTAGAGACTTGGATGCTGTTTGCTTGGATCTTTGACTTTGGGGTATTGACTTGCGTGACCAACCCACGGAAAAGTTATAAACTTTGTACGCAGGCATGGCAAGAATAGCCACCAAGAAGTTATGGTTAGTTATGTGTCAAACTAGGTGGACCCCAACAAATGTTGGTTGTCGCTTTGGTTTCCTTTCAACTCAACCCCAACTGGGGCACTGATTCTAAAAACAAACCTACACATGAGGGACTCACTGAGTCTCTTTTGAAAACCCGGCTCCCGACTCACGATTGTCCTCCACTCCTTTCGGAAAAAAAACAAACACAACAAGCAAGAAACACCTTAAATCCGAACCCCCTCCCGCCCCTCGCCCTTTCCCCGCCCTTCCCCGAATCCCAGAATTTTGACCATACTGTGGATGGACAAGTCCTCCACCCAAGAAACCCTGGATTGATGATTCTCCTGAAAATACCAACAAATTATGATTTCCCATGGTTTCAAAGTGGTGCAGGATTTCGCCCATCCACAGTAGGTACCACCTGGACATGGCGGCGGACGGCAC